AGTTAAGATTTCATACAGGTTTTCAGGGTTTGTGCCAGGACCATGCTGGGCAACTGTTTATCCTGTAGGATCTTCTTTTGGCTCAGGCACCAATCCTAAGGTGGTTTTGCTGTGAATAAGGGTAAGAGATTACCTTGTTTGCTTAGTAACTTGTAACATGTCTGAGCACCCTCTACTGAAGTCTTAATTCTTGTGTTTTGGTCTTTCTGAATTTTGTTTTTTAGTTTCTACATCCTTGTTGTAGTTTTTGACTATTCCTTTTACCTCTCTGAGTATAATAAGCTCAGTGTAAAATCTGTGTCTAATGATAACATTATCTAGAGCTTCTGTAGTTCTGTCTGTAGAGGCCAGATATTGGGTTTTGGTATCTCTATCAAATTATAGAGGTGCTTTGAGGCCTAGGAATGTTTCTTCTCCCCAAGAGGCTTTACATTCCTCCGGCCAGAGACCATGGTGCTGGCAGGGAGAGGTCACCTCCAGGTTCAGGACTGGAGGCATGCTGGGCCAGGAGGCCTCAGTCAGTTGACTGAATCTTATACCTCTAGGGTGTGGTCCTTTGGATTCAAAACCCACGGAGAGGGGTTTCTTGGTCGCCCCACAGTAGCTCTGGGCTGTGCTTTGCCCCACCAGCCCCAGGAGGCTCTCAGCGGCTCGCCCATCATCTTAGATCTCTGAGTCTTCTTTGGAGTCACTGGCGCTGCTTGCGGGGCAGCTCAGCCCAGCAGACACGCGTCTCCCAGGCCTTTGCTCACAGCTCTGCACTCCCTGGTAGCTCACGGTGACTCTTAAGTATATAGTTTTTGCTTTTAGTTTTGTCCAGCTTTTAAAAAAATGTTGTCTTACATGAGGGGTAGGTCTCAGTTACCTAGTCCGTTACTTTTTCTTAACATTTTACTTTAAAATAATCATAGACCTACAGGAACTTGTAAAATTGTTTTAATTGGAGCCCTGTGCGTCTGTCACCCACCATCCCCCAGTGAGGACATCTTACAGTGTTAAAACCATGAAACTGACATTGGTGCCATTCCATTCACTAAAGACCTTGTTCAGTTTTCACAGTTTTTGCGGCATTCATAGGTGGTGTGCATGCATGTAGTGATGATTCGATGTGTGTGACCAGCACCCTCATCAAGGTGCAGAGCTGCTCCCTCACTGTGGGGACCTGCCCCCGTGCCCCCACATACCCCACTGTCCCCTGGCAACTGCTGATGGTCGCCTGTCTCCATAGTTTGTCGTTTCAAGAGTGTCACGTGAGTGGAACCATGTGCATGTAGCCTCAGGAGGTGGGCTTTTCCCCAGCGCCGTGCCTGCAGTCCATCCAGGTGGCCTGTGTGCTGCCAGGCCCGTTTTACCCCACTGCCTGGCCGTGCCGCAGCCTGTTCAGCCGTTTGCCTGTTCAGGGGCACTGCGGCTGCTTTTGGCGTCTGTTGTGAATAAGGCCGCCAGGAGCATTTGCATGTAGGTTTTTTCGTGAATGAAGCTTTTCATTTCTTTGGGATAAATGCCAGGAGTTTGATTGCTGAGTCATGTGGTAACTGTACATTTTGCTTTGTAGGAAACTGCCAGACTGTTTGCAGAGTGTCTGCACCATTTTACATTCTCACAGACGTGTGAGAGTTCTAGTTTCTCCACATCCTTGCCAGTGCTTGGGAATGTCACTGTTTTTAGGGTCAACCTTTCTGACAGGAATGTGGTGGTAGCTCCTTGTGGATTTAATTTGCATTTCCCTGATGGCCTGGAAGGTGGAGCATCTTTTCATATGCTGCTTTTTGTTTCTTGATAAATGCATTTAAAGTTCAGGGTGGATCGCTGAGGACATTTTAAAAAAAATAGTGAGGAATTGTATTTTCCAGTCCTTAAGGCGTATTGCAAAACTTCATGACAGAATGGCATGTTCTTAGAAGCAGGCAGAGAGAGTGGAAGCAGAAGCGAGAACCCAGAAGTAGATTCCGATAGAAAGGTGTGTATGGGGTGTGGTGTGTGAGAAGGGGTTTCTGCCTGGGTGAAGAGGCTGGCTCCCTGGGCGATGATGTTGCGGTGGCTGTGCAGAGCAAGGTGAGACTGTGTGCTCACTTCACACACCCAAAGCTCAACTTCTGCTTGACTAAAAATTTAAGTTGTGTGGTGTGTGAGAAGGGGTTTCTGCCTGGGTGAAGAGGCTGGCTCCCTGGGCGATGATGTTGCGGTGGCTGTGCAGAGCAAGGTGAGACTGTGTGCTCACTTCACACACCCAAAGCTCAACTTCTGCTTGACTAAAAATTTAAGTTCAAAAAATTCAATTTTTAAAACTTCAAAGAAATTTTAGGAGACATTATAGGATACTGTCAGTCCCTAAAAAGCTTTTTAGTTTGGAAATTTCAACTCTACACGAAAGCAGAGGGAAGCGTGTGGCAAGCCCTGCCAACTGTGTGCTGCTGGCCACCCCCCACCCCCCCACCCCACTCCTGCAGCCCTGTGTACCTCTGCTCCCCCAGGGCCATACGATGCTTACAGGCACCATGTTGTCGTAGGACCCCAGGGCATGGTCTTCACGGGGAAGGACTGTTATTCTGTGTTTTGGGGTTTTTTTGCTTTGTTTTGGTTTTGGCTTGGCACCGAACATAACTAACAATAGTTCCACAACTAGAAACAAGCAGTGGAGAATAGTTGTGTTTTGCACATAAATATTAAAGACTTTTGTATGGAAGAAGATGTTTTTATGAAAACACATATAAAGTTAGTAGACAAAACATAGGTTATGGAGAAATACTTGTATTGCCGTTGAAAGAGAAAGTTTTATTCATAGGCTGCAAAGACTCAGAGTTGCCAATGAAAGGTAAGTAGTTGAACTGAGAATTAGGCAAATGCACATGAACACAGACCCAAATGCCTGAGTTGGTGACAGGTGTCACCCAGTCACTGCAATGATGACTTCATGAGGAGAGAATGACATTCCCTCTTTCAAGCTGGCAGCAGCTGGAACTTAGCAGCCCCAGTGCCAGCAGGCTTGGGTGAGCTCTCTAGTCCCTGCAGCTTGCCATTGGGCGATTAGAAATGTGCATGTTTTCTGTCCTGCAGTGCCACTCCTAGGACTGCACCCTGAAGATTATTGGGGCATTGGTGCGACTGATAGGCAGGCATGTGTGTGGACACCTTATTTGCAGTGACAAAAACTGCATGGGGAAATAATCACTAAGCCATTTCATATCCGTAGTGTGGAACGTTACGCACCCCTTGGAGAGCTCGGCACCCTGGCAGGTGGTTCCTTTTTAGAGAAGGAAAGCAGGGTGGGTCAGAGTGATGTGCCCAGGCCCATGGTAGTGATTGATCCTGCTCAGGCATCTCTGCCTCTGCCTGGACCCCTCCTGGCCGGGCAGGACCACTCTTCTGGTCATGGGCTGGGTGAGTGAGGAGACAGGAGGAGGAGGAAGGGGCCACTTGCAGTCTGGAGTGTTCCGTCCTGCCCGTGCAGGATTCTGCAGACGTGCTTCCTCGCTGTCATCTCGCCTGGCAGCATTTCAGATGATGGCTTTCGGACACACGGGTCCCGGAGTGACAGCGATGAGCACCCCCTACTGGTGTGTGATGGGCATAAAATGTGAATAATAGCATCCTTTGTCATAAGCACTGAGATGGGGGTGGTTTTTTGTTACACAGCACAGCCTAGCCCAGCCTGACTGCTGTAAAATGCCCATGGTCATATGATTCTCTGAGCATGGAGAAAGGTGGGAGCTCCCACTCTCGGTCACCCCTGATAACTCCCATCGAGGTGGGAGTTAAAGTACAGAAGGGGGTGAGTGCAGGGCCTGCAAGAGCAGTTGCCGTGTGGAGGCGGCATCACACCTTCTCCTCTGCCACGTGTGAGCGGTGTGTGCACAGCGGGCGCATGTGTGGCAAGGTGCCCTGAAAGGTACCCACTGCAACATCAAGGGCAATTCTGCCCATCTTACATTTTTCTGTAGTGTTAGAGTGTTCAGCAAGTATGAATTATTTCCACAGTCAGGAAAAACCCACTAAAGCCATTTTCATTTTAGTGGTCGCTATAGTGCTGCCCTCCTGTGTTGTGTGTGGGCAGACGGAGGCGAGGGCCTGGCCATGGGGACATGTGCTGGGGAGCAGGGCAGGCTAGCTGGGCATACAGGGCCTGTGTGAGGTCCAGGGCAGTGCAGTGGGGAGGGGCAGACGCTAGCGTGTCCCTACAGAGGACACAGTGTGGTGGTGCAAGTGGCCTGCCTTCCGTCCCTCCTGGGTTTGAGGCCCAGCCCCCTGGCTAGGGCATCCCCAGCCGAATCCCCCGTGCAGATGGGTGGGGCTGCCGTTCAGAAGCTCAGGCCTTCCCCTCCCTTGATCCAGCTTTTCCAGTTGTTCACCATGTGGCAGGCTGGGCCATGTCCTTCCCCACAGGAGTGGCAGCCATCTCATTATTTAAGCTGACACTGTGTTTCCATGGAGGTGGAGGTTTACCAGGGCCCCTGACGATGCAGCCTGTGCAGGAACCACCCCCGGAGGTGCCAGTACTGCCCTCTCCGCTAATGACACACGCAGCTTGGTGCTCTTGGTCCCACCCCAGTGGACCAGATGCTCACCAGTCCTACACCAGGTGGGCCATGAGCGCTCATCTATGACAGGTGTACCTCCTGCACCTGTGGAGATGCCGCTTCTCCCATGTGGGCTCACTGCTCGTGGGCCTCATCTCTGGTGGGTGCCCCACTAGCCCACGAGTCCCTGAATTGCATGTTGTCACAGGGCACTTGAGTTGGGGCCAAACCCGGGCCCCCACCTGGCATTCTCGACTGGACAGGGCTCTGTGTACAGATTGTGTTCCTCTGTGTGGGCCCTGGAGCTGCCTGTGTACCTGGGCTGGGTCTGGGGCAGGTGCTTTGGGGCCTCACAGCGAGGAGATGCCTGTGCTTGCTCATGGGCTGGCGGGCCCCAGCGCCGAGACGGGACTCAGGTGCATCAGGGCTGGTGTGTGATGGGCACTGTTCGACTGGCACTGCCTTTGTCCCTTTTCTTCACAGTGTGCGTTTTAATAGAGAACTTATCCCTGTCCAAAATGCCCTTGGCCGGTGACGCTGTTATCGGTAAGTGCTGTCCTTCCTCCATGACTCACGCTGTGGCCTTTTCTTCTGGAACTACTCATAACTACAAAATCAAAGTGAGCCTGTTAGGAGGGGTGATACGGAGAGGTTGGTGTCGTGGTATTAAATATGTATCACTTAAACATTAGTACTTAAATGTTCAACAAGAGTACCTTGTTTTGAAATTGCTACAAGAGCCCTTGTAATTAAGAGGCATCCCCACACTGTCCCCCCAACAAGGGGGGCGCCCCCACCCCCACCGGGGCCCAGACCTCCTCCTCCCTGTGGCGCCTGCTGAGGCTACTGTGTGCTGGCTGGCACCCTTGGCCACGCCTCCCAAGATGGATGGCACAGGCCCTTGTGGGACTGGTGTGCTGGCAGTGGGCGCGGAGGCGGGACACGCGAGGCTGGCACCTGTGCAGGCCCGGAGCCCTGTGTGTTTCGTGCTGCCTGGCCACAGAGCCAGTCAGAATGGAGCCTTGGGGTCCCTGTCACCACTGGGCTAGTTGTCTTTGCTTCTTGTTCTGCAGCCTCAGAGGTTCTGTGACTTGGAATTTAAAAAAAGGAACTAAATAGCTTAGCATTCGCCAAAAAGCATTGGGTCCAATCGAGTTGAATGTTTGGGTTTTCGTTGGTGGGGCCAGCGGGCTGTGGAGGCAGAGACGCGGGAAAAGCCACATGCGGCCTGCGGGCGTGATCAGAGACCAGACGCTCCGTCAGCTGCCGAAGAGGTGTCCTCCCTGGAGACGGGGGCCCTTAGGGCCTTGGGGTTGTGTGTGGCCTGCAGCCTCTGCCCGCCTGCAAAGGGAGTAGCCACCTGCTTCGATTCAAGGGGAAGATCTGCTGCTGCTTGTCTCTAATTTCATCTAAATACTCCTAACTGGGTAAATGAGTCTCTTTGTTTCTTCCACAGATGGTTGGCTATGGCTGATAAATGACACTCTGAGAAATCTCCACCTTATCTCAAGTCATTCTAGACAAAAGACCAAGGTGTAGTACACGAGGTTTTTCTGATTGCTGCATTGCATAGAAAGTGACATTAAGTTGGTTTTTTCAGTGTTTGTTTCAAAGGATCATGTGCATTATGAGTCCCTTTTATACACTAACATGATAATTGATAAATGCCATAATTACATTTGGAATTCTAGATGGCACTGTCTGTGTGACTCGTCACCAGGAAAACCAGTGTAACTACTGGGACCAGAATGTTTAAGTATCTTTGTTTCTGTTTCTGGTCTTGTTTATTCGTCTTCTAAACACTTTTTCCTGCACATGGATGGTAGCTGCCGGTTTAGCTGTGTCCTGTTGCACTGTAGCATTCTAGGCTCAGAGACGGGTGTGTGCTGTGGTGTGGGTGGAAACTGCAGCCGGGGTCGCCCCTGCACAGCCATGTGGGCTGATCCTGGCAGGGATGCACGTGTGGGCCCAGGCCCGGGAGTGCTGCCATCCTGTGTGGGGACAAGTGGGCTTTATAGACTAGCAGAGCTGTAGCTCGGTCCCTAAGTGGGGACAGAAGCCGCGGCGCTGATGAGTGGGTGTAGGTATTGAGGATGGCGAGGCAAAAGTGCTTCCTGGCCTCGATGATTCGCCAGCCTCCACGCACCTCAGTGTGTCTGCAGTTTGAAGTAGCGCTGTCCTCCTGTGGACCGAGAAGGTTGCCAGGGTGAGTCCTGAGCGCTTCCTCATCCGTGCCCCGAATTTCCTTTTAAAAACACCCGCAATAGATTCATAACAGCAGTGGCTGTGGTCCAGTGTGCTGCAATTTGTACAGGTGCTGCTGGGTGTGAGGCTGCCTTCTGAGATCCTCCTGTGCTCTTGACCCCACCCTACCTCCCGCTAGCACCCCTCTCCTGGGTGCCCTCACTGGGAGGAGCAGGAGAGAGCCTGGGGATCTTGCATTTCTCTTTGCTGTCTGTGATCACCAGTGGCTTCAAGCGGTGCTGAGCCCTGTGCAGACAGCAGCTGTTCCAGGAGGCGGCCTGGGGCAGGGTTGGGGCCCAAGTTGCCCACCGCCCTCCTGGCCCAGTCCCCGCCCTTCCTGGTGCCTGGGGCTCCTGACCCCTCTCTAAACGAGGCCTGCACATGGCCATTGGCCTTGCCCAGTCACTTCTGGGTGTAAACACATTTTTTCCCTCATTACTTCTGAGAAAGAAATAATGCTTCACTTTATTATTAACTTTGTATTAGAAGACAAGGGCTTTGCATTATATGGAATAAGTAATCAAGTTTCTGTTCAGTTTATTAGATGCAGAGAATATTAAACTTATAACTATGTAACACACGGTGACAAAAATTTGTGCTGGAAAGGACTGATGTGACTCAGTTTCTGGTTTTTTAAAATTTGCTCACCAGCCGCCCAGGGAGGCTGCATGGCACCTGCCCTCATGCACTGCTTTGTTTCAGGAAGCGGCAGTCTTGGCCCTGGCCGCTCTCTGTGGAGAGTACTTCATGAAGGAGCCTGGGGAGGCGGATCCTGCTGGGCAGGGTGAGTGGGCCTGGCCCGTCTCCAGGAGCTCGGGCTTGTGGGGTGGGGTCGTGGGTGGTCTGGGGAGGGGCGGCCTGAGTTGGGGCAGGCCAAGAGGTGGGTGCTGTTGGGGTCTGCTCTGAGCAAGGGGCTCCACCAGGACGGCCTCAGCCTCCCCTGCAGCGCAGCATTTCCACTGGGTGTGCGGAGCCAATGCACGTCTCTCACTGCAGACGCTCAAGTCACGCTTCTAAGTGAGCTTTTCCCCTTGGAGCTTTGGAGGTTCTGGTTCCACGTCTCCGACAACGTTTTTCCATCTGGCTTCCTTTCCTTATCATATTTCTATCCCTTTTGCTCCTTCATTTTCCCCATTGTGGGGACTTTCTGGGTGCTTCCTGGGCCCTTTCAGCACGGAATCGCCTGTTTCTGTCCCCCCGGATCACCTGGCTCCATGTGTTCCCCTTGGAGTCTTTATTGCAGCCAGTGCCCCTCTGGGCTTTCCATTTATGATAATGAGCTTTTACAGTTTTCCTGAGCACCATGGCAACACCTTCCTGTGTGGGGTGGGGGGAGTGTCCTAATGCTGGGACTCGGCGCTGTGGTCCTCGCCACCCAGGCAGTGTGCGCGCTGCATCGCTGCATCGCTGCATCGCCGCACCGCAGGGTTCCCGCTGGCGTTTGTCCCGCCTCGTGAGGCTGCTGCGGGCTCTGGGCCCTGCCCCACTGTGTGTTGGGAAGCTTCAGTTCACGGCTCTGTTGTCCTGCGTAGTTCCTTGCTGTTGTCCTACAGAACCCATAGGACAGGCCCTTCACAGACAGGTGGAGATGGCTTTAAATCACAGTGAGCGTAAGATCGCGAGTGTAGAAATCTAAATCTGCCGCTGTGGTTTCTTTCCAAAATAAGGAAACATTCTGTAGCCTGGTCTTCTGACCCTTTGCAGATCGGTGGTGGTCTGCTGTATCCCTTCAGAGGCACTTTTACCTAAGGAGGCAGTGACATTACTTGGTATGTAGTCTGTTTTTACAAGTTGGGGTAATAAGGTCACATTTTACCTTTTGCCTTAGAGGAGAGAACCATGTCATGTCACTCTGAGAACATTAGGAACACCACCCTAAAATTCGCCTTGTCTAAACGCAACTGCCCTGACGGAGGGAGGCGATGCCTCTTTTCCTCTGCTCAGGCGTGCTGTCCCAAGCATGTTCACGTGGATTCCTGTTTTCTGTCCTGATGAGCGTGTTGTGGTTTCATGCACACACGTGCAGAAGTCATGCCCTGTTGTTTCAGCAAGAGTCGTGGAGTCTGCGTGGCTACGTAGGCAGGACACAGGGAGGGTGCCAGGCCCCCCCTCACCCCGAGCTGCGTGTTTAAAGTGCAGGCCTGCCCTTCCCAGAACCCACTCACGCGCCCACCCTCTGCACGGCTCCTGGGGTGTCCTGCCCGTGCCTGCTCCTGGGCTCTGAGGGGGGCCCTCGCTGCTGAGGACGGCACCATTTCCACACTAGTCATTCATGCTCTTAGTGAGTAAAGATGGACCTGGTGGCTGCACCGGCCACTCTTAAAACCTGCTTGGGTCTATTTCCTGAGTGAAACTGTGTGTTAGAACCACTCACAAAGACCGTGAAACCGCCCAGCAAGTTGTTGCTGGACCCTGCTTTGATTCCACCCCTGAGAACACACCTGCGTTGGGCCTCAGGCCTCTTCCCTTCCTTGGCGTTTCTAAACACACGTGCTGTGTGGGTGGTAAGTCGTGGCACAACCTCTGCTTCTTTCCAGGGGACCTGGTCACGCAGTATCTTGCTGCGCTTCGGAGCCCCGAGGAGGCGACGCGCTGTGGCTTCTCGCTGGCCTTGGGTGCCCTCCCGGCCCTCCTCCTGCGAGGCAGGCTCCAGCAGGTGCGCGGGCCCAGCGTGCAGGGGCATCCTAACGTGAGAGCACGTTAGGTGTGGGTGGCGCTGTGTATTCATTAGTGGTCAGACCACCGGTGTGGGAAGGAATTCCTGAAAGCCACTTGAGTGACCACGAGGAAGGGAGTAGGGTGCCCAGGGGTCCCAGGCATGAGCACGCCTGGCGGTCCTGCTGAGAGCCGGCTCCAAGTTGCCTTGGAGTCCGCAGGTGGGGAGGCTGCTGCCTCTCAGGAACACGCCCTTGGCACTGGCGGCATCGCCACGGCTGTGATTGAAGGGTGCAGAGGCCGTGCCCGAACGTGCCCTCCGCCCTGGGTATCCCTCCTTATAGGGGGGGCCTACCCACAGGGGCTGTCACCTCCACGGGTCCTGCCCGTTCTCCAGCACCTGGGCCTGCATGTCCCGGCACAGCCTCACGTTCCGTCGTGGCCCTAGGACAATCGGCGGCTGGGGTGCCCCTCCTTCCTTCACTGCGCACTCCTCCCCACCACCCCTCCCCCTTGCTGGTCAGCCCATCTCAGCCCCCTGGGGTTTGCCCTGAAACCTGCCTCCTTTCTGGGGTGACCCACTGGCCCCCTGACCCCCCGCCTTGGGTCCTGAGCTCCCTGAAGAGTAGGTGCTGTAGCCCGTTGCCAGGCATATCCAGCCAGGCCCTGCAGACCCCACTGGCCGCAGCCCACCACTCCCATTGATGGAAACGTTGGTTGTGGTCCTGCCAACATCCTCCCAGGTGTCCTGGCTGCCAGGCACCCTGGTGTGTGCACCCCTCCCATCGCCTTTCTCTGCCTGGACTGCCCTGGGACCCAAGGCCGCAGACAGCAAGACGGGACAGGCCACCCAATCTACGCTCACTCTGGGGCTCATTCATCTGGCTTTAGAGTTGACGTGTCCCTTTGAGCAGTAACAGGCCAGCGATCAGGAGCCGGCTGCCCCCATTCCGTGTCCCAGCTCTGAGCAGCGGGATGGGGGCAGCTCGTGGTGGGATGCAGGGTGGAGTCAGGATGGGGCAGCACCGCAGAGATTTCCTGGGGCCTGGAGGTGACCCCCTGACACCGTGTTCCTCCTGGGCTGCCTGTGGCACATTTGCAGGATAGCCACTGGCCACATGTTGCCATGTCCTAGGAGCAGCCAGCACTGAGCCAAGTCTGCGCTTGTGTGGGTCACTTGTCTGTGGCGGGCGGTCCTGTGATGGCCTGCCACTGCCCTCCAGGTTCTAGCAGGCTTAGGAGCCATTACCCGCATTTCTCCAGAGGACGTGAGCTTTGCGGAGGCCCGGCGGGACGCCTTGAAGGCAATTGCCAGGTGAGTTTCTCTGGTTTTCTCCCAAAGCCAGGGTCGAGCAGAGGTGACGTTCACGGACATTTCGTGTCAGAAGCCCAGGCTCAGGTGATGAGCCTACTGAGGGGAGAGGTTAACATTTATTGTTTTCTACTTTCTTGCCTTTTCAGAGGATTGTCAAAGATTGCCTCCAATGCATAAGGCTCATTAACAGTCTGCTTGCTTCCCAGGTCAGCCCCTGGGTCAGGATGGCGGGCCTGCCTGCAGATGCCTACAGCATGCTCTTGGAGAAGTGCGTCGCGCCCTGTCATGTCGGCACGGGGAGCGCGGCCATCTGAGTCGGCTCTGAGTTCTCGGTCCTCTTCGAGCGTGTCCTGTCAGGGAGCTCACGAGGCCGAAGTGCTGGGAACTAGGGGGAAGATTGCCTGGGATTCGCTGCTGCTAAGCTTAGCCTCTCACGTTAATTCCAGCATTTGCCAGACAGTTGGTGTGAGAGCAGAGGGAGCTGCGGACGACGTCCTGTGCAAAGGGACTGTCTCCCAGGTTTACCGCGTGCTGCAGGGCTGCCTGAGCGACTACACCACGGACAGCCGCGGGGACGTGGGCGCATGGTGAGGGGGACGTGCACGTGCTGAGGGTGGCCATCCTCACAGCCCGGGCTTGTTCTCCAGTGTCATGCCGGAGGGAGGGTGCCTTTCACGCCACTGCCCATGGGCTGTATCCTGTGCTCCGTCTGCCTAGTGACGGTGTCCTGCTTGCTGTCCCTCCACTGCCCTGCCGTGGCCCTTGTTCCCAGGATAGCAGAGCATCCTTAGGCCAGGTCTGCCCCAGGCCCTGGTCTGTGTTCTGCACTTGACAGAAAGAACTGACTTTGTAAAAAGCAAACGCTGTCATGACTCTCACAGAAGCCATAGGTGCCAGCATTATGGTTTTTACTTGATAAAGTTCACATCAGAGCCTCCCACATTCAGGACCCTGAGCACATCAGGCACGGGAGAAATTGTGTGGATGGAGTTTTGGGGGATCAGCTCCTGCGTGATTGGGGGTGGGGCCGAGTGCAGACGCCGCCCTGGGAGGAGCCCTCGCGCCCAGGGCCATCCGAGGAGACCCCGAGCATTCGCTGTACACCAGGCGTGAGCACACAGCCCTTTCTCTTGCCTGTGCCCGGAGCGCCTGATGCCCTTGTTTGGAGGAGCTGGGAGGGGCTCCTCCCTCGCGTCAGACTCACTCACAGGCATTTGCATCCCCTTCCCGGCCAGGACGCCCCCTAATGCGTGTCGTGGTGGGCAGAGTACAGGGCATGGTGTCTCTGATGTCGAGGGGAATGAGTCTGTTTTTTTATTAGGATGATAGAAAAAGCAGCTTAATGTTAAAGCTTAAAAGAAAAAGGAAAGAAAAGACACGTTGTTCCGTATTCAGCAAGGGTTGGGCATCACCCTGCCTACCCGTTTCCATCAGCCTCTGTCCCGTGGCCCCGCACACTCAGGCTTGCCACACTTGCCATCTGCCTCTGGGATCCTGTTACTGTCGTCCAGTAAAGCCGATGTTCTGTTCTGCTGGGAACAGTCGCCTGTTGGGCCGGGGTCCTTCCTGTCTCTCCCCTGCTCAGGAGTGTGCTGGGGCCTCTTGGGGGCTTGTCTCCCCTCCTTCCAGCAGTGATTGGGGCATGGCTGCGGATGACCTTGCACGTGTTGCACACATGGGCAGGGTTCATCTGAGTGTGGTGAGGCCACAAGGAGGACCCAGGAGCCAGATAGGGTCAGACACCAGGACTGTGCTGCCAGCGCAGGGCAGGTCCCGAGCCCCCCCCCACCCCGCCACGAGGATGGCTGACGGGCGCCCCTGCCTTTCCCTACAGGGTCCGCGAGGCCGCCATGACCAGTCTGAGGGACCTGACGCTTCTGCTCGCCAGGGACCAGCCACAGCTGATGGAGGCCCACATGTGAGTGTGGGCCTGTCGCGGACAGGGCCTGCACGCCCTCCTTCCCTGGCTCAGGGCCAGGCCGCCCCACCCCACGCAGTGCCTCCCTTGGGCTGGGTCTGCCGGAAGACAGCCAGAGTCAAGGGCAGGGCTGGGGCGGCTGCTGTGTCCACGCTGCTCCCCCTGCCAGTGGGCCCCCCCCACTACCCTCTGTCCTGTCTCCCCTCCCTACCCTCTATGCCTTCCTTCTTGGCCTCCCTCAGCCCCTGCTCCCCGTCACCCCTGCCACCTACCCTGCAGCCTGTCTGTCGTCACGGCTTCCCCCGGAGACGTGCGTCTGGCTCCTGGGAAGCAGTGTGAGCCAGGTGGGCCGTCCCCGGGGCTGTTCCCGCTGCAGCGAGGGCAGCCACGCTCTCTGGGTTTCCAGCTGCGAGCAGGTCATGTGCTGCCTGGCCCAGCAGGCAAGCGAGAAGATTGATCGGCTCCGCGCACATGCTGCCTGTGTGTTCCTGGCGCTGCTGTACCCAGACGGCCCTCTCGTGCCCCATGTGCCCCACCGAACAGAGCTGGAGAGGCTCCTCCCCAGGTACTGCAGCCCCGCCCCTGAGGCCCAGCGGGTGGCAGACCCTCCAGCCAACGGGCGCGCTGTCCTGCAGGTCTGACGTGGCCTCCGTGAACTGGAACGCACCATCCCAGGCCTTCCCATGCATCACGCGGCTGCTGGGGCTGCCCACCTACCGCTACCACGTCCTGCTGGGTCTGGCCGTGTCTGTGGGCGGCCTGACGGAGTCCACGGTGAGAAGGCGTTGGGCCCGCTCTGCAGGCCCTTCTTGAGGAAAGTGATCTGTGGGGGTGTCTGCCCTGGAGCTGGGGCAGGGCGGCCTGGGCTCCACCGGGCATAGTGGCGTCGGCATCCTCCTGGGTGCCAGCGAGGAGGAAGTGCGCTGGGGGCTGCTGTCTCCGGCCTGCAGACGGAGTGGCACTGTGAGTGCAGGCAGGCCGATGCATCGGTGAGCAGCTCAGTGGTGGGACTTCTGTTGGGCAGGATCTGATGTGCCCAGCACATGGCTCTCCTGCCACTTGTGGACGCACTCTCTGTCCCTGCTTTGTGTCCCTGCTTTGCTTACGGTGCTCGTGGGCATCACCTGCCAGCTGCAGCTCCTACGCTGGTCTGGTTTATTTCCCCTCCTTGTGCCACTTTCTGGGTGAGTTACGTCGTCTGTCTTCCTCCGTTGCTGCTTCTCCCCTGGTCTGGTGTTCACACGCCCCATGCCGTGCTTCTGTTGGACCCTCGGAAGCTGTTGAGCACATGCCTGCGTGGTCCTCCAGGAAGGCTCTGGGCACAGGGTTTCATGGACTCGCTTCCTCACCCATGTCCCTGTGTGTCCCGTGAGGGTGGAGCTGCTGGCCAGCTGCTCCTTTCCTTGGGCTGCTGCCTGGGGGGCCGCGCCCCTCACCAGTTACATATTCTGTGGCATTAGCTGCTGTGTCTGGCTCTGATCCCATTGGGATTCTTTTATCTCTGAATCGGAGGGCTCGTGGCTCCTGTCCGTCGGTTTGTTAAGTGTGCAGCCCCCTGCTCGGCCGGGGCCCTGCCGTGGGGTAAGGACGAGGCCTTGCTCAGGGCACCTCCTCCCTGGCGTGGTCTCACACTGTGCCTGCATCTGGCCTCCGGGTTCTCAGACCACAGTTTTCTGCAGTTTCTCTGATCTGCTGTTTATCCTGTCCCTGTGTTCATACTTTGATTTCAGTAATGGTAGTTATTATCAAGCATTCAGATTGTTGTGAAATCTATTTATCATGCCTTTTCATGGCAGGCAGATCTTTCAATTGCAAATTTTATTTCTAAACATTAATGTACAGCTATTGCTATTCTAAATTAATTCCAAATTCAAAAATAACTAGGCAGACACACAGCTGCATCGCGCGCGTTTTCCACGGCCCGCGTCTCGTGCTGAAGTGTGCAGTCTGAGGCTGCACCTGCTCCTTGTGTTCTTGCCAGCTCCTAACGCCTGTGGGGGCCGTAGGGAGTTTGCGTGCTGATCCGGAGCGAGCCGCCTGCAGACTGGTTCGCGGTTGCCTGTGGGACGCCGTGGTCGGCACCTCTGGCCAGCGGCACGGCCAGATGTGGTCAGAGCTGGGGTCTCAGGCACCACACCTTCCTCCTGCTCTCAGCTGCTGGTGTCGGGGTGGGGGGCGCCCCGGGTTCTGCACAGGGTCTGAGACGCCTCCTTGGGCTGGCTTGTGTTGGCCCCTCCTGCATGTTTGCTCAGTGTCTGGGGGAGTCTCTGAGCCCGCGGTGCCCTGTGGGTCTGCTGCTGGGTTTGGTACGAAGGGGCTCCGAGCATGTGGTCACGCACGACTCCCGGCTCCAGCACTGTCATCTGCTTCCTTGGGGACCCTACATGAGGCCTGCTCCGTTGGTCTGGGGTAGCGGCTCTGGTTCAGTGTTTGCAGGGGTTCTGCATGCACATCCAGCCTGGGTGGCTCAGTCCAGACCCGCCGCTGTGAGGCCTGGTCATCTCAGACAGTTGAGGCTGACTTGTTGTGGCCAGCTGTGTGGCAGGCAGCCAGGGCAAGCGGGGCCTGCATACCATCCCGAGATTCTGCTCTGTGTTGCAGGTCAGATACTCAACACAGAGCCTCTTTGAGTACATGAAGGGAATTCAGCATGACCCACAGGCCCTGGGGAGCTTCGGTGAGACCCTTCTGCAGGTATTTGAGGACAACCTGCTCAACGACAGGTGAGCCTCACGGGCCCTTGCCCGGATTTTAGGGGAGAAGTGAAGGAGGCATGGCATGAGGCATGGACACAGCCAGGCGCCGCATGCCTGCACCCACTCCCCTGGCCTGCCCAGCCTGTACTTCAGGCCGTGGACTTAGGGGCTTTGTGCACGTCAGAAGTAAAGACAGCAGGCTGAGAGCCCGGCAGAGCGAGCCCACTCCGGCCGTGTGCCTGGGGTCGGAGTCGCCCTGTCCCCTGCGCTGACAGCACCACTGCGGTTCTGGCGGTCAGCACAGGAGCACAAGCACGGAGTAGAGGAGGCTGTGGGAAGTGCGGCCCTTCTGTGGATTCTCATGCAGCGGCATTCTGCTCCCTGCTTTCCCACAAGGCGAGTGGGCCCTGTGGCCCTGACCACAGCCCTGAGAGGCCACTTCTGGGCAAGTGGCCACAGGGTCCTGACATAGGCCAGCTGACCCATCGCGGGCGGGGAAGGCAGATGCACGGCCCTCAGCAGACAGGTCGCAGCTGTGGCCACCCCATCTGTAAGCAGGCCCCTGGGGGTTTAATGGCATCTAGTGAGAGGCAGTCCCCCGTAGTTGGGTGAATTCTGATGTAAGTCGTCATCATGAAGCTGTTGTGATGGCCAGAGCCTAGGCACATCCCTTGCCTGGGCTGCCCTCTGCCCTGGTGACTTCGCCTTCACTGCTGCAACCATAGGCCTTTATTTCTGTCACTTGGTTGGCATTTTCTACATTTAAACGGAATTGTGCATTAGGGTCCCGTGTCCACTGCTTGGATGAGCACAGCCCCTCTAGCGTCACCCTCTGATTTGGGTGGGTTCCCCATGTGGCTGCCCCACGGCTGGTCTGTTCCAGTTGACAGGCATTTGGGTTTCCTGCCTGAGGTGTTACAGATACGTGGTGGCATGCCATTTACTGTGAAGCATCCTGCCACGTGTCAATGGGCTCTGCTGGTCTACCACACCCCCAGTGGCCTGTGCCTGCTTATCTGGGCTCCAACCTGCACGTGGCACTGGTCTCACGCCAGCCTCCTCCCTCAGGGTCTCTGTGCCGCTGCTGAAGACGCTGGACCAGATGCTGGCCCACGGCTGCTTCGACACCTTTGCCACGGTGGAGAAGTAAGTGCCCGTCCAGCGCTTTGCCCCATTGGAGCGGCCCTGCTGGCCGAGCCCGAGCTTGCCCTGTAAGGAGCAGTGAGCAGCTCAGAGGCCGGGGCCCCAGGGGCCCTGCCAGTGCTCTGAGGGCAGCAGTCACCCATGGACGCCTCAGCGGGATTGGGGTTCTGTCCTCCCAGGCCAGATGTGGCCATAGGCACCTGGCGGTCAGCACATCTGTGGATGGGGCAGGGAGAGGAATTGTGGGTGACCTGGCTGTCATGGGGGCACCCGGCGCTGTGCAGGTGGGGCACGCATGATCCCTGGGGGTGCCCGCGGACACAGTGGGAAGAGAGGTACTGTGGGGCGCAGACTGTGTCCGAGAGGCCGCTTCCTGCCTCAGCAGCCCGAGCCCAGGGACACAGCGCAGCTGAGCCGGCCCCCGCCTGCCCGTCTGCAGTGCTGACATCCTGGGCCTCAGCAGTCGGTTTATCTCATTAGGGCCTCATTTTCGTGCCAGTGTGCCTGCTTTTCACTGGATCTCAGACGCCATGGGTTCACCTCTGGCCTGAAAGTCTTGCACCTGTTGGTGGGCCTGGGCGTCCTTCTGGGCATGTTCCTATGACTTGGAGAAACTGTGTCAGGTGGGCCCAGAGCTGTGTTTCCCGTGGTAACTTTCTCCTGCTTCTGAGGTCTCAGCTCGCTGCTGTCAGTGCCCAAGTGTTCCGCAGGCCAGTGGGAGTAGGTGCTGGGTGTGCAGGGCCTCCTGTTGTCTTGCTGGTGGCTCCTCCCCCAGCCGGCCAGGGCTCAGGTGGATCCTTGGGGTCCCTGGGGAACCCCCCTGGTGCTCGGCCCTGCAAACGCAGGGCGGCCTGGGATCCCTGGGTCCCCTCCACACAGGCAGGCTGCCTCTTCACCTCCCCTGCCTCCGTGGCCTCGGTGTGGCCTGCTGCCTCGTGAATGTTGTTACAGGTGAAGGGTGAGTGTGGCCCTGTTACCCTACCTTTGCTGGGACCCTCAAATGCTTTTGAACCTGAAGACATTAAGGGTTCCCTCTGTTAATCAGCTGATGGTGCATCACACAGATTTTCTTCTAACGTCCGAGCAGCCTCTGCATTCAGGGATGTGCCCACGTGGGTTGTGTGGTTATGACTTCCGTTTATGGTTATGACTTGCTTATTAGGTACTCTGTTGAGATACATTCTCCTGGCTTGAAAATTTCAAAATACAATAGTAGGAGAAAGTATCTCCTGCTACGAATATAGCTCTTTTTATGTTAATTTAAGGTTTTCTGTTCTGGTGCAGACGACGTCAGTTTTACTAAGAGAACATTTTCATTTCTGGAGGTACTTTCTGCTTCATACTTTGCATTAATGTGTTTGCATCGGCTTCTTTCCATTCGAACTGGTCCCTTTTTCTGTTCCTTCAGTATCCTCAAGTACATGGGTTTTCTGTGTGTCTTCTGTGTAGCTCTGACGACTCCGCCCGTGAGCCCGTCCTCCGATGTCCTGCGCAGCCCTGAGCTGTGTGCATGCTCACCCTGGCCCAGGACGTCCACAGTCATCCTGCTTGTTCCGCCTCCCTCCTTCTTTCTGTCCTGTTAATAGGGTAACGTCCATTGTCCCATTTTTCTCAGGCTTGTTGGGACCCCTCTCTGCCCTCCTGGGCCACCCCACCAGGGCACAGCCCCACCCGCCGTCACACAGTTGCCCTGTATGGTGGCTGTCAAGTCAGCTATGTGCTCCTCTGTCCCTACAGCTTCCCATCTGCCTCCCCAGGTCTGGGGTCATGTTCTTTCTGCCTAAAGATGTAGTCTAGTGAGATCTGCTGTGGTCAATGCTTCTGGTTTTATTTGCAAGTTATTTTCAGAGCCTACAAAGTCCTCTGCAGCTGTTTTATTTCAGCACCTGACAGATACCCTGCTGCGGCCTCTGGCCCTCACTGCCTTGGGGAAGTCACCTGTAAGTCCAGTTTGGCTGTGCCGCTTTGGAGGCATCTGTGCGTCTCCCACCCGCTGCTTTTCCTGCAGCGATGACCCTAAGGTGCCTTGTCAGTCCTGCAGATGCACATCTAACTAGGAAGTTGTTGAACTAGGTAGGATCTGTCTTCCTTTGTTCCAGAAAATTCCTAGGCGTCATTATCTCTTCCGGCTTGAACCCCACGCACTTCCCTCCCCCAGCACACGCTGCGTCGGCCCGCCCTCGGGGCCGTGTCTATAGCCTGCCTGCCGCTGGCCGTGCTCACCTGCCAGTTCCACGTGGTGTCTCTGACCTCTGCTGGGCTGATCTGTGCAGCTCTGATTTTGGTCTTTGGAGTTTTTCAGGTAGATTTTGCCCTTGGTTTGATTCCCGATGTGTTCTGTCCCATTTTCCGTCGCTGCCCGTGCCTCGTCTCTGAGCGGCCTGCAGTTTCTCTGTCTAGCTGTGTGTCCTCTTTTGCTGATTTACTGTCTGGTTGTCCCCTTTGGAAGAGCATGTGTAAAAGTCACCTGAGGCCCCAGATGACGGTGACCTTCAGCAAGCGGGGTGTCCGTCACCTTTTCCAGGCACAAAGGACCTGGCAATCTGGAAGCTCCCTGGTCACATTCATCTTGGGGCCTCTGCACCATCCAGGGGCCCAGTGGTGGTGCAGCCCATGAGCCTCCCTTTGTCAGGCCTGAGCTTGGGCCTTCTGGTAGCTGGAACAGTGTTGCCCGGCTCCCTCTGCAGAGGTGGTGCACCCCTTCTGTGAAGTGCCAGGTGCACCTCTCAGAGGTGAGGCCGGTCGGCAGCAGCAGGGGTCCCGGGTGTGCCGGCTGCTCTGCGTGGAGACAGCCTCGGGGTCCCGGGCAGGAGGCGCGGTAGAGTGATGCTGTGAGCGACGGAAGAGCAGGGGCGGTGTCTGCCGTTCTTCCCGGGGCTGTCCTGGCCAGCTCAGCTGCTGTGGACCGGTACTATGACTGGGTGCTCAAACAGCGGGAGCTTGTTTCTCACGGCTCTGAGGGCGGGAGGTCCAGGATCAGACTGCCGGCCAGCGTCGCTCCTGGTGGGCAGCCTTCATGCTGTCTTCATGTGGCAGAGGCCCCCTCCTGTGTCTCTTCTTGGAAGGGCACTGCCCCCCACCGCGGGACCCATCCTCAGGACCTCGTCACCTCCTGAGGCGCCCCCCAACACCCTCACTGGGGGTAGTTCGGTGGACTTTGGGAGGCACCAGTATTCAGTCCAAAGCACAGGTGTCCAGTTGGAGGTGCTTCGTAGTAGATCCTGTCCAGAGGAGGTGGGTTTTCAGGGTGGAAACTCAGAAAATGGGTGGTGCATGAATGGCTGAGGTCCCTGGGGGAGAGGGCAGACTGACACAGGCCTGGGTGGAATCACGGGCACCCTGCTGTGGCATTCTGGGGGTGGAGGGGACAAACAGCCAAGCCACTGGGAAGTGGGCCCTCCACGGTGTGTGCTGCTCAGTCATGCGGGCTGAGGACAGGAGTGACCGCGGCCCTCAGCACAGTCCCTTGGTCCTCAGGCGTTTCTACAAGCTGTGGAGAGAAGCCACACAGAGCGGGTTCAGAGAGGGAGGGCCTGAGGGTCACTATAGCTCTGAGTGGCAGTGAGGACCGGGTGGGGGCGTGGTCGTGGTGCCAGGGGGCTGAGGTCCGCTTTGCCCCAAGGATGGGAGTTCACCGTGGGTGGGGAAGTGGGCCTGTGTGCCTCAGCCCACGCCGCCGCGCATCCTGGGCTGTGGGGGTGGGTGTCCTTCCCACAGGGAGCCTGGCGTGCCTGGGTGGCCCAGCAGCGTGGCCTCCACTGTGCAGAGTGGGAGCACGTGCATGCGTCGTCCTGGCACCTCTGGGTGTGCGGGTTGCGTGGGCACATGGTGGCAGTTGGCTGTCGTGTGGAGGACGGGCAGTATGGTGGGGAAGGGTTGTCAGTACGCGAGTTTGCCTGGCACTACACTGGGACGTGGCCCCCGGTCAGCTGAGTGCTTTTTGCAGCCACCCCTTCTGCACGAGGCTGCTCATGCTCTGCAAGGAGGAAATCCAGAAGTCCAGGGACATCCAGAAACTGCGGTCCAGCATTGCTGTGTGAGTCCCAGCCACTTGCCAGATGGCAAAGGGCAGTCTGGCATCAGATGCCAAGCGGAGCCAGGCAGGCACATGGCTCCCAGGGGCGCCGGCAGGCCTAGGGACGGGTCACGTGTCCTGCCTCAGCAGGAGCAGTCACAGGGGAAGGGGCCTCGGGCCGCACAACGGGAGTGGGGCGGCGGGGCGTAGCGGGCGGCCCTGGGTGGCATGTGCGCCAGCCCGGCGGGGCCCCGCACGGGCCAGTTTTCCTGGAAACAGACAGGACTCCAGGCGGGGGGCCTGGATGCACTGTCCCTGGGCCTCTTGGGCCTGGGGCCTGCTCCCCACAGCGTGCCTGTGCCCTGCAGGTTTTGCGGGATGGTACAGTTTCCTGGCGACGTGAGGGCAAAGACCCTCCTGCAGCTGCTGCTCTTGCTCTGCCACCCCTTCCCGGTGGTGAGTGCGGTGCCTGGGGTTGGGGCTGCCTGGAGGCGGGTTGGCGGGGCCTGTGGTCATGTGGATGCCCTCCTGGCGCTCAGCTGCTGCAGTGCTGCATGCGTGGCCCACCGCTCCCCTTAAGACCCAGTGGTTTTAAAGGGGCCCACCCAGAGCTTGGCCTTTTGGGTCCCATAAGGCACCAGGCTAAAGTGGCTCTACCCACACCCAGGGCAGTGCCTTCCCCTGGAACCCCAACCTCAGAGTCAGGTGTTCTGGCAGTGATCCTCTCTGGCTGAAAAATAATCTTCGAGTAATCCCAAAGTGACGTTTTCATGAAAGGTAAAAGCGTTTAATCTAACAGCAGCTCTCAAAGTGGGGTCCATGGGCCTGGTCACAGCACCCCCCCCCCCCACTAGCAGAAATGCAGATTCTCAGGCCGAGTGTACTTGCTGACTCAGGGTCACTGGATGGACCTGGGGCACAGACAGCTTGTTCCCCGGACGGTGCAGGAACTGGCATCCGCGTGGAACATGCCCTGTCCTGGTGCACTGCATGTCCAGTGCTACCCGCAGTCTCCCCCGTCTAACTGTCCATGCAGGTGTGGGTCGGTCTCAGGGTCCTGGGGTTGCGGCTGGCCTGCGCCTCTGCTGCCTGGGCAGCGTCTGTGTGCTGGGCTCAGTGTGTCCCAATGACGTCTCCATCCCACCCAGGTCCGGAAGGCCACCGCTAGCCAGGTGTATGAGATGGTGCTCACTTACAGTGACCTCGTGGGCGCAGATGTCCTGGATGAGGTCACGGCTGTGCTCGGCAACACGGCCTGGTGAGTGCTCCCAACCCCTGGGCACATGTCAGTGTCCCATCGGTGCAGCACTGGGGTGAGCGGGGACACCTGGGGGCGGGCACTGCCTCCCTCGCTGTGCCCATTTCTCCCAAAACCCCTCTGAAGGGAAGGGGATCCAGGTGCTCCACCCACCCAGTTCGGGCTCCCCTGTGTATCGGGGTTGAGGTCCATCAGGGCGTGGCACTGTCTGCCCCCTGAGCTGCAGGGCCAGCAGATGGACATGTGAGGAGGTGGGCCAGCAGACAGACACATGGTGAGGAGGCGGCTCCCCTCTGCCCCTCCTCGGGGGTGTGCCATGTGAGTCAGCCACAGCCCCCGAGGGAGCAGCAGGTGCCCAGATCCCTCGGCCCTTGGCCCAATGCGGCTGTGCCCAGATGCACTCAGGGCGCACTGTTCACTCGCCTTGGTGAGAAAGCTGCATGCAGATCTGTTCAAATGGTGATGGGAGGAAACAGGAAGAGGAAGGTTCCCCCTTCACCATCCATGTCCCGACCTGCCCTGGGCAGCCAGGGCCAGGAGCTCCTTAGGGGCCCTAGAGAGAGGCGGGTCTCAAAGTTTACTTCAGGCACAATTTCCAGCAGTCTGTCGGCTTCTCGTCTCCTGGTGGATCCAGACGACAGGTCTGAAAGAGTGTTGAGGGGGCAGAAGGGGCCGATGAGAGGGGCTCATGGAGAAGGTGCAGCCTGTGAATGTGCACGAGCCTGGCGTCAGCTGGTGACACGAGGATGTAGCACATGGGTGGGTGACGACTGTTAGGTGCCAATTTCTGCACACATGCACACCCGTGCAGGTCCTGTGCACACGCTCACACATGCCCGTACACTCACACACACCCACACTCCACAGGTGGCCATTCTCACCCCCTCCCACCCCTTTATGGAGTCAGGGCCAAGCTTGGGAGGTCAGGCCTGGCCCAGTTAGGCACCAGCGATAAGGGCCTCCAGCAGCTCTGGCTGCCCCGTGCCAGTGCACGCTGCATAGGCAGGGGGGACGTGCCCCAAAGGGCTCTTCCCACAGAGCTCACGTGCAGGTCAGGCTCCTGTCCCAGGCCTGGTGGCCATGGCCAGCTCCCTGTTTGAATGGGACAGGAGAGGGCCTCTGGCTTTAGGGAGATGGTGTTCTGCCAACACCTTGGTAGGGCCCCACGGCGATAGCTCCAAATGGGAAGGTCTGAGGGGCATGGATGCCCCCTCTCTGCACAGCTGGGGTGCTGGCCTGACCCCACACTCAGGCTCTATCCCCTAGGGACTGTACTGATGTTTTTTCCTATTAGTATGTCAACCTTATAAAATGGAGAGGGACGTTCTAAATCATCAGAATCTCAGGGTACCAGCTTGAAGAAGGGCAGAGGGTCAGAAGCTGAATCCCTGATGCCCAGGATGTCCAGGGAGCCGCCTCTGTCTCATGGCGGTAGCACAGAGAGGGCGCACCGCACCATACTTTAACCCCTTTCTGTGAAAAAAAACCTCGAGGGTTTGAAAATAACTTATTTTTCTTACTACAAAAGAAAAACACACCCGGTATTTCTCTGTGATGTTGTTAAGTTTAATTTTTACTTTTAATGAAATAAACAGCTTTCCAAGTAAAATAAAACTTAAGCCCACAGGATAACATCTCCTCCCCCGCACTCCCCGCACAGGCCCTTCTGTCGCGGCCCCCTGGGCTGGGCCTGTCTGGGGGCTGCGTCCTCCGTGTGGGGCGCCCCTTGTTTGGGGGGCTCACTCTCCAGCACCTTCCCAGAAGGGGCGTGGGGGTCTGCCGGGTGGGGAGTTCTGGGACATAGAGTGTTCTTCTCCTTTCCTACCTGGTCTGAGATGCCAGGAAGGTCACCGAGAGCTTGAGGTTTGTGGCAGGTTTAACCAGAGCAGCCGTTCTCGTGGCTGAAGCCACCCCTGCCCCTCTGCAGGGACGCAGAGCTCCCGCTCGTGAGAGGCCAGCGGAACCGCCTGTGTGATCTCCTCGCTGTGCCCAGACCTCAGCTGGTCCCCAAGGTAACCGCTCGCCCTGTCACTCCGCGCGGGAACACCCGGGCCCTCCCCGCGTGGGAAGCCACCCCATGGTTCCGGGGAGCTCTGCTTCGTCTTCCTCTGCCTGCGTCTCGGCTTTGGGGGTTGCTGCCAACCTGTCTTCAGGCCTCTGCCCCCCTCTGCAGCCACCCACAAGGCCCCAGACGCCTCCTTCCTCAGGGTCAAGTCGCTAGCACTTCCTCTGGGTCTAGGTGTGCCCCTCTGCTCGCCGCCCTTCCGTCTCTGGGTGGCGGCCACTCTTCCCTGTCAGAGCTGTTGGCATATTAGCCACACTTGTTTTAAATTCCCAGCCTTATAATTCAGTGCTTCTGCCATATCGAGCCTGGTTCGGCTGTTTGGCTTTGTCTCTCCAGACATGCTCTCATGCCTTCTGGCATATTTTATGCGTTTTTGTTGAAAGGCAGACGTGTTGTGCTGGGGACAGGAGCTGCTCTGGCTTTTAGCATGTGCTGCAGGCACAGAGCCTCGGGTCCTCCAACCTTCGGCGTCCAAGCCTTCGGGCGTCCTGGCTTGCAGCCCCTGCAGCAGCTGGAACCTGTGGTTCCGAGACTGGAGCCCTCTTGGTGAGGGGTAGGATGGGGCAGGGGGACCATCTGCAGTCTGCTCTGCCATTGGCGGTCTGGACCTCAGCCCCTGACCTCCGTGCACCTCCCGTGACTGTGTTGCCAGATGTGTGCTTAAAGTGCTGAGCCCCGTTCCCCTTGAGCACAGGCTTGCAGGGGCGGCCTAGGGGTGACTCATGACCCCGACTTGTCCGGCCCCTGCCAGAGCTGTGCGGGAAACCCCAGGACAGTGTGAGTGCCCCCGAGATGGCGACCCGTGCTCAGTCATGCCCGACCTCCAGCAGCTTCTCAGAGGTGCCTCTGGTCTACAACAAGCTCCAGGGACACCAGCCTTGGGGTGCTGATGGGGCTCAGGAGGGCACCTCTCCCCATCTGTGCGGCAGACACTCCACAAGTCCGCCCAGCAGGCGGCCTCGCCCTCATGTCTCAGCGCGGGGGGAAGTCACAGCGTGTGTTCCTCTCTTTCTCTTGAGTTTCCTCGAGTGTCTTGATGTGCTGAAGTGTGGTGGGTGCGAGTGTGGGTCAGTGGCACCCTCCTGGGGCCTGGCTGCTGTCTGCCTGTCACAGTGCCTTGGCACTAACGTGGCCGCACTGGTTTCTGGCTGGTGTTCGTGAAGTCCATTCTTTCCGTCGCTCCATTCCGCGTGCCATTGCATGTAAATGGTCTCTTGTAATGGGTCCCACCTCCTTTCAGTCCGGTTTAATGATCCTTACTGATCACAGCGTTCTGTCCACTCACATTTCACACGATTATGGATTCATTGGGGTCACATCTACCATCTTCCTATTTTCTGCTGATCTGTTTTTTCTTTCCTCCCTTCTTGTTGTCATTTAGATGAGATTAAAGATGTCTTTATCTTCTGTTAGCTTGGTGCCATTCAGTTTTCCCACTGCCCAGCTAGTGACTCCCGGAGAAGACTGGCCTCGCCTTACCGCAGTCTGAAGGATGGGTGGCGCAGGCGTGGGGCTCTGGCCGTGGGACCCCCTCGTCTTCCCAGGGACCCGGCTCCAGGCTGCCAGGGGGCCTCTGCTGCTCATCAGAGATTCTGGGCTTGCCTTCCGCTCAGACCCCTCTGTCTTCCCCGCCCCGCGTTACGCCGCCCATGTGCCCCGCTTTGGCACTGGTTTGTTTCTGAGACAGCCCTCCTCCTTCCCGTCCTGGCCTCCCCGCTGGGTGCTGTGTCATGTCCCATGGTGCCTGGCCTTTCTCTAGGGCCCACCCCAAGCCTCCTGCAGATGTGGGGATGGTGTTGTCACCAGCCAGGTGACCCCGCCAGGGGCAGAGCTGAGCACGGCGACTCTTTCCTGGGTAAAGGCAGCTCCGGGTTTACCCAGATGTGCTTCATAGGTTCCTGTTGGGAAGGTTTTGGACACGGATGAAGTTAGAGAGAAACGCATAACAAACCTTCCCAGCCGCTACCCAGAGGTGGTGGTGGCCACAGGGCTCCTGGGATGTGCTGGGGTGTGTGGGCCCCAAGTGGCGGGGACCTGGCACTGACCTGCCCGACCCTGCTGTGTCCCCCACAGCCCAGCACCCGCTGACTGGTCTGCAGCCGAGCCCTGACACCCGCCCCGCAGGGAGGAGCTGGCCGACAGCACAAGGGGCCTGGTGCCACGCCTGGGCAAGAGGGCGGTGCGCCTGAGGACCTGCATCTCGTCGCCACAGAGCTGGCCTTTCCTCACGTGTCCCGGGCTCTCGGTGCTGCGGCGCTTAAACACGAGTCTCTGCCTATAAAGTCACGTCCTGACCATTTCCACGTGTCTGGGTCTGATGCTAGTGTGAGTCTGGGAGACGGCGTCGTGGGGGTATAAGCGGGAGGCCAGGGCTGGTCGTAGGCTCCCTGCTGCCCACCTGCATGGAGGGGGCGGCCCTGGGGGACCAGGCCCGGGCCAGGGCCAGCTGCAGCCTCCTGCCCTGGCGCTGCTCCAGCCGCAGGCCTTGCTCAGCTCGGTCTTAGCAAGATGTGTCCTGGGAAAGGCTCATGTCAATGCCATGTAGGCCAGAGAAATGTCAGTGGGGTCTCCCCCAACCCTGATCTAGCGTCCAGCACACGTGAGTCGCCCGCCACCTGCCCTCACGTGGCCTGGGGCTCCTCCCGCCCGCCCTTATGTCTGCTTCATGGGCCAAGGTGGGGCTGCAGGAGAGATGAGGGTGGGCAGGTGGGTCATCTGCAGTGAAGATGCTGGCCAGACTGTGGGGGCCATAAGCACAGGACTGAGGGCATGGCGACAGGATTGGCCAAGCCACGCCGAGAAGTACTTTGCCGCTGCTCCCTTAGCGCTGGTGGTCACGTGGTGGCAGCCACTGGACTTCCTGGGGATGTTCCCTTCGTGTGCTGGACCTTGGGGCAAATAATCCTTAACACCCAAAAGAGGAGGTCCTGTGATACGTTTGTGAGGTTTTCAACTTTGTAGATTAACTTTTTATTTCATTCAAGCCTTAAAACATGCCCCTCTCTTGAAGATGAGGGAGTTTCCATCTCGGCTGACCCTGACAGAGGTCACACGGGAGGGATCCCATATGACGTGGTGCCTGTGTCCAGACCCAGCCTCAGGCTGTGGGACGCCACGCTGGCGGGAAGGCTGTAGTGCAGGGTGGCCGCATGTGGTTCTGCTCTCGTATCTGCTGGGCAACCGGAGCCCCCGCCACCGAGCAGCATCCGGGCCTTGGCTGCAGAAAGCCAAGTAAGCAGCTTCTGAAAAGCAAAGTAAAGTGCTTTTCTGTGATTTTTTGAAGACTGTAAGGTTCCAGAGAAATGGCCTTTTGGAGACAGGCCAGGTCACCACACAGACCCATCAATGACACTGTCGCAAGGCAGCTCCTCTTTAGCGTGGGTCTAACTTTGCAGCCCAAAGGAAACCAAACCGATCTGGCCACAGGCAGGGTCCTGCCAGCCCTGCTCGTGCTCAGCACACTGGACCCTGAGGTCAGCACTTGCTCCAGCAGGTGCCTGGTGGCTGGGAACGTCCCTACTCCTGCAGCCAGTTTCTGGAGCCCACCTGGGTCTGGGTGATGGAATTGGTGGGAGCCCCACACTCCTAAAGTGGGGGGCAGCCAGTGAGAAAATGGGTGACTGAGGCAGGGGAGCAGGACAGTGCTCGGCTGTCTTTGTGGAGACATGGTCGGGAACCCTTGGAAGGACAGCAGATAGTGCCAGAGACGCACACTTGCAGCCCCAAAAGCATGTGCTCTGTGAGGCAAGGAGCCAGCAGGCCTGGAGCAGGGTGTGCACGGGATCTGGCAGGGCCATGCTCGCGTGCAACTGCCTTTCTCACATGACACAAACCCACCGAGTGGGCACCGCAGTGGTCCACCGAGCACCAGGCAGAACCTAACAGGAGACCCTGTGTAAAGCAGGGACCCTCACGGCAGCATGGGCGGCAGCGGGGCCAGGAGAGGCCAGGCCTTAGGGATTGGAGAGTGAGAACACGCCTCCCCTGCTGCCCCTACTAGACAGGCCCCACACTGTCCAGACCGTGGGCACCAGAGGCAAGTCCCAAACCTGACCTAGGAGCGCATGTCTGGGTGGCAAGCACGGGGCCGCAAGGAGGGAAGAGCTTCATGCTGAGGAAACCACCAGCCTGGTGGGCTGTGTGCCTTCTAAGCCACACCCCCAGGGACGAGACCAGAGCAAAGTCCACTGGGGCAGATAGGCCTGCTACCACTCGGTGGGTCCTTCTGTGCACACTGCCTACGCCAGTCAGCTCGTGGTGCTGTTCTGTGCAGTGCAGGGCCTTCGGTACCAAAGTGCTCCCCGGCATGACAGCCACACAATCCCCAGGGCTGATATCTCTCAGGGGGTCACATCTGCCCCCAGGAACCACCAGCCTGGTGGACAAACTTCAGGCAGCAGGAAAACAGTCCGCATGCATGGCACCGATGTGACGGGGAGCAAGGCCGCAGGCTGCATCATGCACAGCACAGGCGCGGATGGGCCCTGGTCCTCCTGGCCTGAATTGACACCTCCCGTGCCCGAGGAGTCTTTGAGGCTGTGCAGAGGCCCCGACCCTCCCACCCCAGGCTACTGCCTTGTCATACGGCCTGTCAGAGCCGGTCCCCACCCTTGGGGTCATCACTGATACTTTAAGGAGCCACACACTGGTGACCTTGTTTCGTGCTCAGGTAGGGGGCTGCTGACCGCACACCGCCTTCAGGGAAAAGCTGTCTGGTGGTCTCAGGCCGCTGGGACTGAGGGGCCATCCGCCGAGCTGGAACTGCCCACAGCCAGGGTGGCCATTTCAGAGAGTAGTCGCCTGGACCTGGTTGTCACCGCCAGCGTCCTGAGTCTTCCCCACATCAAATCGGAACCAACCAGAGAGCCATGTGCCCCAGCCAATCACGGGGATGCCTGTGCCCCCACAGCCCCTTCTCCTAGGAAGCCAGCGCCCCCTGCCGCTCTTGAGCCCCGGCCATGCGCAAGCTGCCCTGCCAGCTGTGTGCACGCGCCCCCTGGCCTTGTGGGGCCACGTGCCCACCAAGGCTTCAACAGCCAGACTCAGGCAGTACTGAGGCTGAGGGCAGCAGGTGGTGGCCATGCTCCCTGGAGGAGCTGCTCTGGGTCTCATGCTCACATGTGTAACAAGCAGCCCTCAGGCTGTGCGCTCACAGCTGTGCGTTTCACCGCAAGTAAACCACACGTGATCAGCACGCCCATCCGGGTGAAGAGCCAGCACTACACAGGTGGTGGGCTTTCCCCACTCCCCAGCCCTTCACCACCTGTGGGACAGTCCTGACCCAGGGCTGCTGGGGGCCCCTGCACATACCTGGGGGCAGCTGCTGTGGATCATCAGCTGAAGTGAATGAAGTCTCGGCCCTCCTGCAGACCCAGTGACTTCAGGTTGTCCTCAAATGCACCTCCCGTGAGGTCCTGTGTGTTGGGGGCGGGTGTGAGCAGCAGGTCCAGCTTGATCCAGGCCTCCCCTGGCCCACATTGGGGCCACCATAGATCCCAACAGGCTTGAAGTCATCTGTGGCCACCTGACAGGTCGTCCACTATGAACTTCTCTGCTGGGAAGAGGCCAGAGGAGACAGGGCCACGCAGGGAAACTGCCTGTGCTGGGCCACCACGCTCTGCCACCAGCCCCCACCCAGCCTAGCCTCAGCCCCTCCTTGCAGCTGACCCCGACCAGGGGGACTTGGAAAGAAAGCCACGGAGAGACCTGGCTTCCCTCAACCGATGGGGCCTCTCTGATGGCCCCCCACCCACCTCCTCTGCAGGGCCAGGAACCCACCCAACAGCAAGTCCCCTCCTGCCTTTCTCCCACCCTTCCCTGCAGTGGGGAGAGGCCTGCAGCCACGCAGGAGCCAGGCCCCTGCAGGGGGGCTCAGGCCCCACCCATGTCACATAAGGGGCCACAGCAGGTGTCTGGGACTCTCACTCCAGTGCCTCAGTAACTCACTCCGGAAAACATGCCCAGCATGCCAGGAGCTGCAGGTGAGGCCGGGGCTCTCAGAGGCCATGTTCCTGCTGGCTGTCCTCTGGCCCCTGTGGCCAGCACGGAGGATCAGCCCGGCCACACACAGCCTTGGCCTGGGCCGTTACTACTGGGCCCTGCTAGAAGTACACAGAAAACATTCCACTCGGGAAACACCTGAAATGCCGCATCTGCCCTCCGCATGCTGTCCATTCTGATGGTTCCGGGGAGCTCTGCTTCGTCTTCCTCTGCCTGCGTCTCGGCTTTGGGGGTTGCTGCCAACCTGTCTTCAGGCCTCTGCCCCCCTCTGCAGCCACCCACAAGGCCCCAGACGCCTCCTTCCTCAGGGTCAAGTCGCTAGCACTTCCTCTGGGTCTAGGTGTGCCCCTCTGCTCGCCGCCCTTCCGTCTCTGGGTGGCGGCCACTCTTCCCTGTCAGAGCTGTTGGCATATTAGCCACACTTGTTTTAAATTCCCAGCCTTATAATTCAGTGCTTCTGCCATATCGAGCCTGGTTCGGCTGTTTGGCTTTGTCTCTCCAGACATGCTCTCATGCCTTCTGGCATATTTTATGCGTTTTTGTTGAAAGGCAGACGTGTTGTGCTGGGGACAGGAGCTGCTCTGGCTTTTAGCATGTGCTGCAGGCACAGAGCCTCGGGTCCTCCAACCTTCGGCGTCCAAGCCTTCGGGCGTCCTGGCTTGCAGCCCCTGCAGCAGCTGGAACCTGTGGTTCCGAGACTGGAGCCCTCTTGGTGAGGGGTAGGATGGGGCAGGGGGACCATCTGCAGTCTGCTCTGCCATTGGCGGTCTGGACCTCAGCCCCTGACCTCCGTGCACCTCCCGTGACTGTGTTGCCAGATGTGTGCTTAAAGTGCTGAGCCCCGTTCCCCTTGAGCACAGGCTTGCAGGGGCGGCCTAGGGGTGACTCATGACCCCGACTTGTCCGGCCCCTGCCAGAGCTGTGCGGGAAACCCCAGGACAGTGTGAGTGCCCCCGAGATGGCGACCCGTGCTCAGTCATGCCCGACCTCCAGCAGCTTCTCAGAGGTGCCTCTGGTCTACAACAAGCTCCAGGGACACCAGCCTTGGGGTGCTGATGGGGCTCAGGAGGGCACCTCTCCCCATCTGTGCGGCAGACACTCCACAAGTCCGCCCAGCAGGCGGCCTCGCCCTCATGTCTCAGCGCGGGGGGAAGTCACAGCGTGTGTTCCTCTCTTTCTCTTGAGTTTCCTCGAGTGTCTTGATGTGCTGAAGTGTGGTGGGTGCGAGTGTGGGTCAGTGGCACCCTCCTGGGGCCTGGCTGCTGTCTGCCTGTCACAGTGCCTTGGCACTAACGTGGCCGCACTGGTTTCTGGCTGGTGTTCGTGAAGTCCATTCTTTCCGTCGCTCCATTCCGCGTGCCATTGCATGTAAATGGTCTCTTGTAATGGGTCCCACCTCCTTTCAGTCCGGTTTAATGATCCTTACTGATCACAGCGTTCTGTCCACTCACATTTCACACGATTATGGATTCATTGGGGTCACATCTACCATCTTCCTATTTTCTGCTGATCTGTTTTTTCTTTCCTCCCTTCTTGTTGTCATTTAGATGAGATTAAAGATGTCTTTATCTTCTGTTAGCTTGGTGCCATTCAGTTTTCCCACTGCCCAGCTAGTGACTCCCGGAGAAGACTGGCCTCGCCTTACCGCAGTCTGAAGGATGGGTGGCGCAGGCGTGGGGCTCTGGCCGTGGGACCCCCTCGTCTTCCCAGGGACCCGGCTCCAGGCTGCCAGGGGGCCTCTGCTGCTCATCAGAGATTCTGGGCTTGCCTTCCGCTCAGACCCCTCTGTCTTCCCCGCCCCGCGTTACGCCGCCCATGTGCCCCGCTTTGGCACTGGTTTGTTTCTGAGACAGCCCTCCTCCTTCCCGTCCTGGCCTCCCCGCTGGGTGCTGTGTCATGTCCCATGGTGCCTGGCCTTTCTCTAGGGCCCACCCCAAGCCTCCTGCAGATGTGGGGATGGTGTTGTCACCAGCCAGGTGACCCCGCCAGGGGCAGAGCTGAGCACGGCGACTCTTTCCTGGGTAAAGGCAGCTCCGGGTTTACCCAGATGTGCTTCATAGGTTCCTGTTGGGAAGGTTTTGGACACGGATGAAGTTAGAGAGAAACGCATAACAAACCTTCCCAGCCGCTACCCAGAGGTGGTGGTGGCCACAGGGCTCCTGGGATGTGCTGGGGTGTGTGGGCCCCAAGTGGCGGGGACCTGGCACTGACCTGCCCGACCCTGCTGTGTCCCCCACAGCCCAGCACCCGCTGACTGGTCTGCAGCCGAGCCCTGACACCCGCCCCGCAGGGAGGAGCTGGCCGACAGCACAAGGGGCCTGGTGCCACGCCTGGGCAAGAGGGCGGTGCGCCTGAGGACCTGCATCTCGTCGCCACAGAGCTGGCCTTTCCTCACGTGTCCCGGGCTCTCGGTGCTGCGGCGCTTAAACACGAGTCTCTGCCTATAAAGTCACGTCCTGACCATTTCCACGTGTCTGGGTCTGATGCTAGTGTGAGTCTGGGAGACGGCGTCGTGGGGGTATAAGCGGGAGGCCAGGGCTGGTCGTAGGCTCCCTGCTGCCCACCTGCATGGAGGGGGCGGCCCTGGGGGACCAGGCCCGGGCCAGGGCCAGCTGCAGCCTCCTGCCCTGGCGCTGCTCCAGCCGCAGGCCTTGCTCAGCTCGGTCTTAGCAAGATGTGTCCTGGGAAAGGCTCATGTCAATGCCATGTAGGCCAGAGAAATGTCAGTGGGGTCTCCCCCAACCCTGATCTAGCGTCCAGCACACGTGAGTCGCCCGCCACCTGCCCTCACGTGGCCTGGGGCTCCTCCCGCCCGCCCTTATGTCTGCTTCATGGGCCAAGGTGGGGCTGCAGGAGAGATGAGGGTGGGCAGGTGGGTCATCTGCAGTGAAGATGCTGGCCAGACTGTGGGGGCCATAAGCACAGGACTGAGGGCATGGCGACAGGATTGGCCAAGCCACGCCGAGAAGTACTTTGCCGCTGCTCCCTTAGCGCTGGTGGTCACGTGGTGGCAGCCACTGGACTTCCTGGGGATGTTCCCTTCGTGTGCTGGACCTTGGGGCAAATAATCCTTAACACCCAAAAGAGGAGGTCCTGTGATACGTTTGTGAGGTTTTCAACTTTGTAGATTAACTTTTTATTTCATTCAAGCCTTAAAACATGCCCCTCTCTTGAAGATGAGGGAGTTTCCATCTCGGCTGACCCTGACAGAGGTCACACGGGAGGGATCCCATATGACGTGGTGCCTGTGTCCAGACCCAGCCTCAGGCTGTGGGACGCCACGCTGGCGGGAAGGCTGTAGTGCAGGGTGGCCGCATGTGGTTCTGCTCTCGTATCTGCTGGGCAACCGGAGCCCCCGCCACCGAGCAGCATCCGGGCCTTGGCTGCAGAAAGCCAAGTAAGCAGCTTCTGAAAAGCAAAGTAAAGTGCTTTTCTGTGATTTTTTGAAGACTGTAAGGTTCCAGAGAAATGGCCTTTTGGAGACAGGCCAGGTCACCACACAGACCCATCAATGACACTGTCGCAAGGCAGCTCCTCTTTAGCGTGGGTCTAACTTTGCAGCCCAAAGGAAACCAAACCGATCTGGCCACAGGCAGGGTCCTGCCAGCCCTGCTCGTGCTCAGCACACTGGACCCTGAGGTCAGCACTTGCTCCAGCAGGTGCCTGGTGGCTGGGAACGTCCCTACTCCTGCAGCCAGTTTCTGGAGCCCACCTGGGTCTGGGTGATGGAATTGGTGGGAGCCCCACACTCCTAAAGTGGGGGGCAGCCAGTGAGAAAATGGGTGACTGAGGCAGGGGAGCAGGACAGTGCTCGGCTGTCTTTGTGGAGACATGGTCGGGAACCCTTGGAAGGACAGCAGATAGTGCCAGAGACGCACACTTGCAGCCCCAAAAGCATGTGCTCTGTGAGGCAAGGAGCCAGCAGGCCTGGAGCAGGGTGTGCACGGGATCTGGCAGGGCCATGCTCGCGTGCAACTGCCTTTCTCACATGACACAAACCCACCGAGTGGGCACCGCAGTGGTCCACCGAGCACCAGGCAGAACCTAACAGGAGACCCTGTGTAAAGCAGGGACCCTCACGGCAGCATGGGCGGCAGCGGGGCCAGGAGAGGCCAGGCCTTAGGGATTGGAGAGTGAGAACACGCCTCCCCTGCTGCCCCTACTAGACAGGCCCCACACTGTCCAGACCGTGGGCACCAGAGGCAAGTCCCAAACCTGACCTAGGAGCGCATGTCTGGGTGGCAAGCACGGGGCCGCAAGGAGGGAAGAGCTTCATGCTGAGGAAACCACCAGCCTGGTGGGCTGTGTGCCTTCTAAGCCACACCCCCAGGGACGAGACCAGAGCAAAGTCCACTGGGGCAGATAGGCCTGCTACCACTCGGTGGGTCCTTCTGTGCACACTGCCTACGCCAGTCAGCTCGTGGTGCTGTTCTGTGCAGTGCAGGGCCTTCGGTACCAAAGTGCTCCCCGGCATGACAGCCACACAATCCCCAGGGCTGATATCTCTCAGGGGGTCACATCTGCCCCCAGGAACCACCAGCCTGGTGGACAAACTTCAGGCAGCAGGAAAACAGTCCGCATGCATGGCACCGATGTGACGGGGAGCAAGGCCGCAGGCTGCATCATGCACAGCACAGGCGCGGATGGGCCCTGGTCCTCCTGGCCTGAATTGACACCTCCCGTGCCCGAGGAGTCTTTGAGGCTGTGCAGAGGCCCCGACCCTCCCACCCCAGGCTACTGCCTTGTCATACGGCCTGTCAGAGCCGGTCCCCACCCTTGGGGTCATCACTGATACTTTAAGGAGCCACACACTGGTGACCTTGTTTCGTGCTCAGGTAGGGGGCTGCTGACCGCACACCGCCTTCAGGGAAAAGCTGTCTGGTGGTCTCAGGCCGCTGGGACTGAGGGGCCATCCGCCGAGCTGGAACTGCCCACAGCCAGGGTGGCCATTTCAGAGAGTAGTCGCCTGGACCTGGTTGTCACCGCCAGCGTCCTGAGTCTTCCCCACATCAAATCGGAACCAACCAGAGAGCCATGTGCCCCAGCCAATCACGGGGATGCCTGTGCCCCCACAGCCCCTTCTCCTAGGAAGCCAGCGCCCCCTGCCGCTCTTGAGCCCCGGCCATGCGCAAGCTGCCCTGCCAGCTGTGTGCACGCGCCCCCTGGCCTTGTGGGGCCACGTGCCCACCAAGGCTTCAACAGCCAGACTCAGGCAGTACTGAGGCTGAGGGCAGCAGGTGGTGGCCATGCTCCCTGGAGGAGCTGCTCTGGGTCTCATGCTCACATGTGTAACAAGCAGCCCTCAGGCTGTGCGCTCACAGCTGTGCGTTTCACCGCAAGTAAACCACACGTGATCAGCACGCCCATCCGGGTGAAGAGCCAGCACTACACAGGTGGTGGGCTTTCCCCACTCCCCAGCCCTTCACCACCTGTGGGACAGTCCTGACCCAGGGCTGCTGGGGGCCCCTGCACATACCTGGGGGCAGCTGCTGTGGATCATCAGCTGAAGTGAATGAAGTCTCGGCCCTCCTGCAGACCCAGTGACTTCAGGTTGTCCTCAAATGCACCCCCCGTGAGGTCCTGTGTGTTGAGGGCGGGTGTGAGCAGCAGGTCCAGCTTAATCCAGGCCTCCCCTGGCCCACATTGGGGCCACCATAGATCCCAACAGGCTTGAAGTCATCTGTGGCCACCTGACAGGTCGTCCACTATGAACTTCTCTGCTGGGAAGAGGCCAGAGGAGACAGGGCCACGCAGGGAAACTGCCTGTGCTGGGCCACCACGCTCTGCCACCAGCCCCCACCCAGCCTAGCCTCAGCCCCTCCTTGCAGCTGACCCCGACCAGGGGGACTTGGAAAGAAAGCCACGGAGAGACCTGGCTTCCCTCAACCGATGGGGCCTCTCTGATGGCCCCCCACCCACCTCCTCTGCAGGGCCAGGAACCCACCCAACAGCAAGTCCCCTCCTGCCTTTCTCCCACCCTTCCCTGCAGTGGGGAGAGGCCTGCAGCCACGCAGGAGCCAGGCCCCTGCAGGGGGGCTCAGGCCCCACCCATGTCACATAAGGGGCCACAGCAGGTGTCTGGGACTCTCACTCCAGTGCCTCAGTAACTCACTCCGGAAAACATGCCCAGCATGCCAGGAGCTGCAGGTGAGGCCGGGGCTCTCAGAGGCCATGTTCCTGCTGGCTGTCCTCTGGCCCCTGTGGCCAGCACGGAGGATCAGCCCGGCCACACACAGCCTTGGCCTGGGCCGTTACTACTGGGCCCTGCTAGAAGTACACAGAAAACATTCCACTCGGGAAACACCTGAAATGCCGCATCTGCCCTCCGCATGCTGTCCATTCTGACCCTTTTCTCTTCCCAGTATCTCTGCTCCCTAGTTTCCAAGGGCACGATGACTGGACTCAGACGCAGCCCGGCCCCGAGGGGGGCCCAGAAACCAGGGCCTGCTGAGGGGCCCGTGGGGCGGCAGGTCTGTGCCTGACAGGAAGGGGCCGCCTCCTCAAAGTCAGACACTCCTGAAACATGGTGCCCACTAGAGTGGAAAGGCCAGCACCAGGCTCCAGAGGCACCCAGGATGCCTCCCTTGGCCAGCAGCCATGGTCCCACGGACAAGCTGGCGATGCCAGGCGAGAAACGTCGTGAAGAGGAAACTGACACTGGAGACGGGTGCTGGGCCTCCCCGGGAGTCAGACGCACTCCGAAGACTGCAGGCAGGACCCGGCCGAGGACAAGTCGGGGCCCCTGCGGCCTGGGACTTCACCCTCGGCATGTCCTCTGGCCAGGGGGAGACACGGCCCCCCATGACCTGCACTTCCACTCCCGGGATTAAACCCCAGAGAACCAGGCAGGCAAGGCGGGACATCTCCATGGCCGAGTGCCAGCCTGACATGCATGCAGCTGAATGCCGGACACCAGCGTGGTGTGGGCGAGGCCACAAGCACAGATGTCCGGTTCCTTCCCCACAAGGTGCCAGAGCAGGCAGGTGGACCACTCAGCTTGGGGAGGCCTCCCTGCCCACACGACGAAGGGCAGAGAAGTGGCACAATGGGAGGCTCTGTCCTGTGAGCACCTGTCCAGGACGTGTCCAGAGTGTCTCTTCCAGGGCTAGACGGGGAGTGTCTGTGGCTTTGTGGTCATATGTCTTCTGTCCCAATAAATTTTATTTATAAAAGCAGCTGGTGGGCCATGTTTGGGCCATTTTCTGAATGTGCCATTTTCTGAATGTGTCAATAGTTCAAAATAGGAAAGTTCATCCAAAGAAGAAAAGCGTGAGAAAAGGTCTTGGAAAGAATGAAGGACACGCACACCGTAAAGCTGCGCACAAACAGACCCACGGGAAAGACCGGAGCCCGGAAGTGGCCCCAGGAGACGGCGCCTCATTGCTGGGGAAGAGGCGGGCGCTCGCCACACGGTGCTGGAATGGTGTCCGGAAGGAGATGTGCATCCCTAGCCAGTCTTCCCACAGAATAAATTCTAGTATCAAAGGTAGAAGAAAAAAAATAGTCTAGGAAGTAAACTTAGAGGACATGTTTTAAAATTTCATGAGGAGTTACTATCTTAGAATGAATACAACTCTAAAAGCCATAAAATAAAAAAATCAGATATTTAAATGTGAATTTAATCAAATGACACCGGTGGAAAAAGTCTGAATGTTTAAAAAGTACTGACAGATCAGTAGGAAAATGGGCTGGGGAGTAATTTACCAAAGGGGAAAGGACTGAAGACATGCTCCTCCCCGGAGGGCGATGTGCAGACTTTCCACCACTTCGCAGAGGTGGCCCGTTGGGCCACATGCTGCGGACGGTGCTTGGTGGGGGCACGAGCTGCCCTGGAGGGCAGGGGTGGCGCCTGGTGGGATCCCGACTGGGAGGGCTGTTCTCTGACCACGGGCACTTGGAGCTCTCCCTGCACACAGCCAAGTCACGTGTGTTGTTTTTAACAGTAAACGATGAGGTTGGCCCAGAGGCCTGTCCACAAGTGATGGGGTGATGACCGTATGAAACGTCCCTGTAATCCAGCTTTCAGAGCGAGGTGCTGGGACCCCCAAAGCGTCTCCGTATGGAACTGCTCCCACCACAGAGGAAGCGGGTGGGGAGCCACCAGCACGACCCACGGAGCGGAGGTCAGATGCATTAAAGCACAGCGTGCAGGAGGCGTAAAGGTCGTGTTGGGTGCGGCCACATGCTGGCCCCAGGTCTGACCAGCAGCACACTATCAGAGGATAAAACGTATCTGTCGAAGGCACTGGGGAGCCTTTGGCCCTGATGGGTATCTGGGACTTTTGGGGTGACTGGTGTTTTTCTTAGGCTTTTATCTTTTTGGGAAACAGTAATTAATGAATGAAATGGCACTGGAATTTCCCTCACAACACAGGGTGGGGCCCTGGGTGCTGTTCCTCTGGCAAACCGTGCTGGAAAGTTCCATTAATAAAGAGATGATGACAGAGATGGTGCCAGTAGGTTTCCCTGCAATGATCTCCAAGATACATCATCATATGAAAAAGCAAAATAGAGAAAAGTGGGTATGAAATGCTACCATTTATTTTAAAAAGCCACATGCACATCTTATTTGTGGTGTCTCTGGGAGAACACGCAAGAAACAGGAGACCAAGGTGCCTCTGGACCTGCCGGGGCCACGAGTGGGTGAGGCTCCCTGGGAAGTAGACCCTTCACAGCCAGTCTGCTCCTCAAAATCTGTGGAACTCAAATTTCCTTTCACACCTGCTTCCTGCAGGCTCTTATTTACCAACTTTCCCTGGCAGCTTGGAAGTTCGGTCATCTGGGCCTTAAAGAAGCTTCTTTTGGGAACTGCTTTCAAACGAGAAAACCCAAAGCCAGGCAGGCCAGAAGTAGCAGGTGGGTCTGGTCTCCGTGGCCCCACCTCGCGGCACTCACAGCCGGGGTGCAGAGAGGATGGGCATCAGACATGGCCAAGGCTGGGCTGTCACCTCCGTGACCTGGTGATACATTATTGTGACACCTGTCCTGCTAGCAGACCCTTGACCCTCACTGGCTTTGACAGAAAAAGCTGCCAGGTTGGGGGTGGGGGGTCACCTGGCAGGGAACAGCCAGCAAAGAGCTGAGGCCCTTGGTCCAGCACCTGAGGACTGAGCTCTGCCGACGAGAGCCTGAAGCACACGTGCCCCGGTCGAGCCTCAGGATAGGATCCTGTCCCGGCTGGCACCACGTCTCCTTTAGGTCACGTCTGTGGTAACCCATCATGTAGCGCCAGTTAAATAATCCAGGTTCGAGCTGACAAACCGGCCGAGAATGAAACCCAGGGTGCTGAGCCGGGCCTGGAGCTACGGACGGCCCTGCCCCACACCGTACACGCCGGTCGGCACAGGGTGGGTTGAAGCCCCACATGGCGGGGCTGGTGCTGCGACCTCTTAGAAACAACCCTAAATTTCCCAGGAGCTTCTGAGCCATGACGCCAAGACACATGCAAACAGATGGAAAACAGGGAAACTGAACTTCATCAGAAACAGTTTGTACATCAAAGGATGTCATCGGGGAGGAGGAAGACCACCCACAGGTGGGGAGAAATGTCTGCACACGCGTCGGGGTCCTGCATCGAGGACATAGACGGAACTCCCACGGCTCAACCGAAAGGCAAACAACCCGATCGAGAAAGGCACTACACTCAAGCAGACATTTCTCCAAAGACACTCAGATGCCGACAAGCCCACGGGCGGATGCATTGAGACCACAGGAGAGGCCGCTGCACACCCGCCAGAATGGCGAGGTGGACGCACAGGGACAGCAGGTGTTGGTGAGGACGTGCGGTGCCCAGACAGCACTTGGCGGCTCTTCAGGGGCAGCGCCCAGGAGGGGCGGGAACAAGTCAGCACACGGACTGCACGCAGCGTCAGCGGCAGCCAGAGTCCCTGAGGCCCTTCCGAGTTAGCTTTGCCAGCCAGGCCTGCATCACCGCCAGCCAGCAGCCCGCACACACAGCCACCACCCCGGCTTCTGCGGGGCCGGGTCTCAGAACAGCCCAGGCCGCGTGGGGCTCTGAGTGAATGTCTTTGCAGACGCCGTCCTCGGGGTCTGCCTGTTCACACACCCTTTCCCGACGCGGGCGACTTCCCCTAAGCTGCACCTGGGGGCCGGCACAGAATCCGGACACCTCAGCAGCCGAGGGCGTCCATGTCCCCGAACGTCGGAGAGTGGGCCTCGTGGGAGTATAGCCCTGCGGAGGGACGTCCGTCAGGACGCCAGCCTGGCCACCAGCGGTGTCGGGCCACTCCAACAACTAAAAGCTCTGAGTAAATTCCAGTCAGTGTGAACAGGGACCAGGAGCTTAAAGCGGCCACGCATACGTCCTCGGAGGCCCCGGTGTGGCATGGCAGGGAGGTGTGCCCCACTTCTTATGGCATCTCTCCTGCTCACACACTGCCAACTCCCTTCTGTAAGAGCATATCCTCCAGGAAGGCCTCTGGTGAGCACCCTGGTCAGAGACTGCAGCCCAACCTCCCACAGGGGCTGGAAGCTGCCGGAAGTGGCGACCTGTGTCTTTGCAGCTGCCAGCAGCACATTGGGCCCTGCTCACCCACCAACACTGTCCCCTTAGGACCCTGTGGGGCAGCCCTGAGCCAGGCTGAAGTTGGGGGGTGGCACGCCTTCTTAGTGACTGCTCCACCCCAAGGCTTGTATGGGGTTTAAGGGCACACAGGTCACTGAGGGAGCCGGGAGGTGCCTCAGGCCTGGCCCTTGACACACTGCCAACACCGGCTACTTTTACAGAAATGCAACCGGCTTTATGAGGCCCTGTGGCTGCCTCTTCCTCCAAACCCTCCCAGCACCCCCAGCACAGTGCATAGCTTCCGGGTGGGTGCTGGGCACTGGGGTCTCATGCATGGGGCCTGTCCCAGCGTGCGACCACAGTGCAACACTCACCAGCTTCACGCAGATTACGAAGGGTGGCCGTGCGGCTCGGAAGTGCAGGATCGGAACCCGGGGCTTGGGCTTTTCCTGAAAGAGGAGACAGTGGTGGGCCCCCCAGTGCTCGTCCTCAGGGACACGTGCCACCTGTGTGCCCTGCACCACTCACGGCTGGATGTGCTCAGGTGGGCACCCAGATCACAGCCTACCAGGGGCGGGCCCCAGCCTAGCCCCCTCACGCCGCCACAGAACTAGGCTGGGGTGGGCGGAGAGGGCAGACGGGGCACAGCTCTCTCCAGCAGGGACCACGTAGGGCCCAGGAGCCCCACAGTACGCCTGCCAGGCCTGGAGCCTTCTGGGCCCAGGTGGCCTTTCCCAGGGAAGGTTCTGGACACTGCCACTCAGGCCCAGGCCGTCAGCCCCCGCGTCTGGCCGTCTCGGAGGGGCTCCCGGGGCCCCAGCACACCTGAGAGCCCTCGTAGCAGTAGAAGCCCTTCCTGATCTTCTTCTCGTCCACGTCGCAAAAGGCCACCACCTGGGGTCACAGGACGCCAGCCTTGGGGATGGTGGGGACATGGGAGACAGAAGGGGCACGGGGCACAGGGGGACGTGGGGCACAGGGCGGTGAGGGACCCCACCTTGTGCCGTGCTCTGTCTGTCAGGCTGCGGTAGAGCCAGCGGCCCTGCCTGCCAGCATTCCAGATGGTGAAGGCTGCCCAGTGTGGCAGGACCCGCTCCTCCAGGAAGCGGACGCGGTGTGTCCACATGGTGGTCCTGTGGGGGAGGGGCGTGACCGGGGGCAAGGCCCCAGACCTTCCCACCCACCCCTGTGCCCTCCTCGTGTCCCCGTGCTCCAGACCGTGGGAGCCTGAGGGAGCCCATGTGGCCACTGGGGCGTCAGGACCCTGGAGCACCGAGCACGGGGCCTGGACACGCCCATGAGCAGCCAAGGGCTGTTTCCCGGGAAGCAGCCCTGGCAGCTGGCGGTTGCTTCCACGTGACCCCTAGGCTGGCCCCTTGCCTGGGGCAGACCTGGAGGTCCAGGCCTGGCCCCAAACACGTCAGCTGCTCCCAGTTTGACATGGTCAGACGCATGGAAAGGCCTCCATGACGGACATAAACTGTCGTGAGAATTTGGAAGGTTGGAGGGCATTTCCGGGTTGTGCCGTGGCCCCACGTGACCCCACGTCTATCTCCTGGAGAAGTCCTTGTATGTAAGTGTTAGGAAAAAGTATAAAACCTAAATGTGATTTATTCCCACTAGGATGTTTAAACGTTTTAACAGTAAGGTATTAACAAAGGGCCACGTGGTGGAAGCTGCTCGGCTGAGAGTGGGGGTGGGGAATTGATAAGGGCCTGGCGATACCTGTTTGAGTTTTTTAAACCTACCAATAAGAAAGGAAAGATATAACTGGCTTAGGTGACGTGCGGGAAAGAATGTGAACCCTGTAGTACTCAGCCAATGAGGAACCAGGGGAGGGATCGCGCACCAGGAGATAACTTATTGGCGCCAAACTCCGCTGGTGTGCCTGCCCACCAGACACCCCATCTTGCAAGACCGTCATTAAAGCCTCGCTCCGCTGTTCTCTTTGTCTCCGTGTCCACTTACTGAATTTGGACCAGTGAGTGTGTTTCTCACATAAGGGAGGCTTGCGAGCCGTGGCAGAAAGTCACGGCTTCCACAACAGGCCCATGAAAAGATGCTCCACACGGCTGGTCATCAGGGAAATGCGAACTGAAACCACAGGAGGTGTCACCGCACACCAGTCAGGACGGCCACCACCCAAAAGGCTAGGAACAACAAACACTGGCGGGGATGCAGAGAAAGGGGAGCCCTCCTACACTGCTGGGGGGAATGTGAGCTAGTTCAACCATTGCTGACAGTGACGTGGGGTGTGGGAGTGACTTGATAATACGGGTCATGTAGTAACCACATTGTTTTTCATGTGAAACCTTCATCAGAGTGTATGTATATCAGTGATACCTCAATTCAAAAAAAATAGAGTCATGGCTTCCACTTCAAGTGTCTGGGTGGGGGCCCTTCCTGGCCCTGGCAGGCCCCGGGCAGCTGTCCCACAGGCTGTCTTCAGGCCGGCCTGACCCTCCTGAAGCCCGGGGTCCCCTGTCCCCAGGGCCTCAGCCACACTGAGCCTCACAGTCCGCAGCCCTGCCCTGACGCCCACACGTCCTGGATGCTCCCAAGGCGCCCCACGAGGCAGCTCCTCCTGGTGGGGTTTGCGCCTAGCTGGGTGTGGGGCCCACAGACACGATGTTGAGACCCTGTTCTAAATGCCAGGTGGGCAGCTGATGTGTCAGCCGTGCAAAGGGCAGGTTCTGACTGCCGGGCCCTGGGGTGCTGGGCTCGTGAAGGCGGATGGGCTCCCCAACCCTGGCCATTCAGTGCTTCTGAGAGGAGCACACAGGGACGCTCCAACCCAACAAACAGCGCCCGGGCGCAGCACACGCAAGCTTTGGTAATGCTGGGAAGACGGAAGGCATTTCTGTGAACAGCAAACCCACGCTCGGGAGTCCCGAGAAACCCCCAAGGCTGGGCGCAGGCGGCCTCTCTCCTTCCAGCAGGAGCCTGGCTGGACACCCAGCCAGGAAGCAAGTGCGGGGTCCGCCCGGGGCCAGGGCGCCTCCAGGCCCTGCCCTGGGACCCCGCAGGCCCACAGGTGTGGATGGGCTGTGGGCCGGGGCCCTGCGAGGTCTCTGCTCTGCGGGTGTCTTCTCCTGGTCCTGCTTTTCAGCTCATTCCTGTCACACGGGGTCGGACCGGTCCTGTGACTGCCGCTTCTCTGTGGTGCCCAGTTCTCTCCAACCTGAAGTATGGACTCCACAGAGCGCCATCAGGACGCCCCACCCAGACCCTCGGGGACAGGCAGCATGGGGCCACGGGGGGAGCTCCCGGCAGCGTCCCCGGGGGACGGGCCAGATCCTGCCTCGCTGCCGCAGCGCTGGGGTCCCAGGGCCAGCGGGTCTGAGCCTGGAGGGAGGGGATGCGGGCTTGGGACAGCAGAGCCAGTGCTTCCGGGCCTGAGTGCCCGGAGCAGGGTGAGGCTCAGGAAGCGCCTCATGGCTGCTGTGGGCAACAAAGTCACCTGGCAGCACCAGCCCTCCGGGCCGGCTGCGGGGAAGCGGCGTCCTTGGCCTGGGGAGGAGACAGCGCACAGGTTTCCCGAAGGAGCACTGGGGCGTTTCCGGGGGCGGACGGCAGCCGACGCCAGGGGGGAGGCAGTTGGGGGGCTGGCAGGGATGCAGGACAGCCACCCGCTGGAGGGAGGGCAGGAAGGCCGGCAGCAGCATGTGGCGGCGGGGACCGCAGGGGACCGCGCCATGAGCGCCACGCGTCGGCTGCCAGGCAGGCCAAGGGCGGTGGTGGCTCGGGCAGGACGTTGACGCAGGAGAGGCACCAACGGGCAGGTGAGTCGGACAGCAGCTCGGGCCGCTCTGGGCTCGGGGGACAGAAAGCCCAGGGGGATGGTCCCGGTCCGCTCGGAGATGTGGCTGCTTTTCTGCCTTTTGGACACCCGAATGTTTCCTAGTGAAAAATTTGATCAGATGCTGACCCTTCTCAACCTGAACAGGACAGAACCAGGAGCACCTCCGACGCGGGGCCTTTGGGAGGCGTGGGTTCATTCCCGACAGGCCTGAGGGTGGGACTGGGGCTCCGACGCACGTTCTGCCACTCACAGCACTGTGATCCCGCGCAGAGACCAGCCTGAGACCCCCCTCTCCGGTGAGGGGGGCGGCAGAGACTCATGCGGCGAGAAAGGAAAGATCTCAACACAACGGGGTTCAGTGCAGCACAGGGTGCGGACGTGTGTGGCACCAAGCCCCCTGGCCGGCGCCGGGTCCTTCCTGGATGCACAGGACCCGCCTCAGGTGGGGCCGCATCTCAGACCGTCAGGCGGTGGCAGAGAGCCCGTGTCCCACATCTCAGCTCCGTGGCGATTCGTGCCCACTCACCCAGTCTCCAACTTAATTTGTGGAAAGTGGGGGATGGTGACTCCAGAGAAGCACTCTTCAGACAGTTTAGAAGTTTCAGTGAAGGTGTTATTTACATAGTGAAGCATGTGGTTCTTATGTGTATGAGACTGTTTTTACGGACCGTCCATGGGCTGTGACAAATGTGTATCTGTACCACCCCCATGCCATCGATCTCCCCAGAAAGGCCCCGGAGGAAACCAGGACCCTAATTTCTGCCTCCGGGCACCTCTGTGCTGTGCTCCAGGGCAGCGGGGCCCACAGCATGTGCGCCTCCTGAGCCTCTTTCACTCACCATTCTTCTGTGACGTTGGCCCACGTCCTTCCACGTGTCAGAAACTCCTTTTCCTTTAACGTGAAGGAGCGCGCTGAAGTCTGTTTACCCTCCAGCTCCCGCACTTAGCGGCGCTGTGCCGAACGCTGTCAGTTCTCCTGCACAGACACCTGGACGTGGCGCTGCTGGGTCGCAGGGAAGGCGTCAGAGAAAATGACAGTTTTCCAGAGAGGATGTACTGTTTACAATCCCAAGAACAGTGTACGAGAGTCTGGGATCCACACCCTCACCATTTGGGATCGCCAGACATCAAACTCAACCCTTCTGATGGGCGCTTGGAGGGTTTGACCCGCATTTCTGTGTAAGCGCAGGACCGTCTCAGGGGCTCGCTGGCCCCGTGCTGCTGTTGTGCAGAGGGCTGTGCATGTCAGTCCTCTGTGCTGGTCCCGTCAGGTACACGGATCCCAAGAACTGTGAATATGGTCTCGTGGTTTGCTATTTTCCTAATGGTGTCTTTTACGAGCAAAAGTTTTTAATTTTGGTAAGTCCAACTGATCAGTTTTTAAATGGTTAATGATTCTCTTGTCCTCATTCATGTTCACCTTCCCTGAAGTTGTGAAGATGCTCTCTAGTGTCTTCTAGAAGCTTCGTATTTTATCTGCCTCTGTATTTAACCATCCAGAATTAATTTTTCTGTGGTGAGTTTTTCCCATACGGACATCCAGTTCTTCTGCTCGTTGAGAATATTTTCCTTTTTCCATCAAATGCCTTTGGAGACCTTGCTGAAAACCAGTTATGTTGGAGGCTATTCTGTTTCACTGATCTGTCTTTACGCTATGGCTGCGTTTTTCTGATTTCTGTAGCTTCAGAGAAACTTATCAGGCACTATGAGGCCTCAAATTTTGTTCTTTTCAAGGTGGTTTAGTCCATTCTGGGTCCTTTGATTTCCCATGTGAATTTTCAAATCAGATTATCAATTTCTGCAAAGGAACCGGCTGAGACTTTTTTTGGAATTGCATTAAACCTACACATCAATTTGGGGAGAACTGATGTGCAGTACAAGTTTTCCAATCCACGAATGTGGAATCTCTCTCCATCTATATTATAGGGGTCTTTAATTTCCCTCGGCATTTTGTGGGGGTAGTTTTTAGGGGACATACATATACCTTGTTAATTTACCCAGAAGTATTTCATTTTTGATGCCAACATACATGCTTTTAGCTGCATTTTCCAGTTGTTCACTGCAAGCCTGTGGCCTGAACTTACTAAGTTACTGGTTGATTTCCTGTGAAAGACAATCATGCCACCTACAAATGACGATTCACTTCCACTTTTCAATGCCCGCATCTCTTCTTTTTCTCGTGTTATTGCCCTGTCCTCTGTGACAGCGTCGGACAGAAGCGGCGAGCTCTCCGCTTGCTCACACCTGATCTTAGGGGGGGAGCATTCAGTCTTTATTAAGTGTGCAGTTAGTGACCGCTTCTATTTTGTTGAGATTTTTTAAAAATCATGAATGGGTATTGAATTTTGTCAAATGCCTTTTCTGCATCTCCTGGGTCAGTAGGTCCATTTTTATCCTTTACCCTGTTAGCACAGTAGGTCATACTGATTGATTTCTGAATGTTAAGCCAGACTTGGATTCATGATGTATTATCCTTTCCTATACATTTCTTTATCTGACTTAGTATTTTTTTTCCTTTTTTAAAAACAGGTAAAGTTGACATACGTTATATCAGTTTGATAATATTTTGTCATTGATTTTTGCACATATTTTCATAAGCAATACTGGTCTGTAATCTTACTGTCATGTCATGTTCTCGGGACATTTTGGTAACAGAGGCCAGCCGGTCTCATGGAGTGAGTGGGGAGCTCCTCACAGCACCCAGTATAGGTCTCCTCTTCTGATATCTGAGAGAACTTCTTAAGAGTGGTATTTCCTCCTTAAATCTTTCATAGAGTATGTCAGTAAAGCCATCCGGCTTGGTTTTCCTCTTAGGATATTTTTGAACTATCAATCTAATCTTTCATTATACTTCAGAGATCTGTAGGGTCTGTAGTGTGTCCCTCTTTCAGTCCCAGCATATGGGTAATCTGTATTTAATTATTTTTCAAGTCTTGCTGGATGTTTGCCTATTTTATTTCAAACAACCAATTTTTGGTTTGCTCACTTTTTTTCTGTTGCCTGTCCATTTTCAATTTCATCTCCCACTTTTCATTTTTTCTATTTACTTTGAGTTCACTTTGATATTACTTTAGTAACTTTTAAATGTGGAGACAGTTAATTGCTTAGTTTCTTTTTTTATAATGAGTTTTAAAAAATATTTTATTAAGGTATTATTGATATACTCTTACGAAGGTTTCACATGAAAAAACAATGTGGCTACTAAATTTACCCATATTATCAAGTCACCACACATACCCCAATGCACTCACTGTCCATCAGTGTAGTAAGATGCCACAGATCCACCATGTGCCTTCTCTGTGCTGCCCTGTTCTCCCCGTGACCCCCCACACCATGTGTACTAAACATAATACCCCTCAGTCCCCTTCTCCCTTCTTCCCCACCCGCCCTCTCTGACCCCTTCCCTTTGGTCACCACTAGTCCCTCCTTGGAGTCTCTGAGTCTGCTGCCATTTTGTTCCTTCAGTTTTGCTTCATTGTTATACTCCACAAATGAGGGAAATCATTTGGTACTTGTCTTTCCCCACCTGGCTTATTTCACTGAGCATAATACCCTCCAGCTCCATCCATGTTGTTGCAAATGGTAGGATTTGTTTCTCTCTTATGGCTGAATAATATTCCATTGTGTATATGTACCACCTCTTCCTTATCCATTCATCTACTGATGGACACTTAGGCTGCTTCCATATCTTGGCTAGTGTAAGTAGTGCTGCAATAAACACAGGGGTGCATTGTCTTTTTGAGTCTGAGAAGTTGTATTCTTTGGGTAAATTCCAAGGAGTGGGATTTCTGGGTCAAATGGTATTTCTATTCTGAGTTTTTTGAGGAACCTCCATACTGCTTTCCACAATGGATGAACTAGCTTACATTCCCACCAGCAGTGTAGGAGGGTTCCCCTTTCTCCACAACCTCGCCAGCATTTGTTGTTCCTAGTCTTTCTGATGGTGGCCATCATAACTGGTGTGAGGTGATATCTCATTGTGGTTTTAATTTGCATTTCCCTGATGACTAGCAATGTGGAGCATCTTTTCATGTGTCTGTTGGCCATCTGAATTTCTTCTTTGGAGAACTATCTCTTCATATCCTCTGTCCATTTTTTAATAGGGTTATTTGTTTTTTGGGTGTTGAGGTGTCTGAGTTCTTTATATATTTTGGATGTTAACCCCTTGTCGGATCTGTCATTTACAAATATAATCTCCCATACTGTAGGATACCTTTTTGTTCTACTGATGGTGTCCTTTGCTGTACAGAAGCTTTGCAGTTTGATGTAGTCCCATGTGTTCATTTTTGCTTTTGTTTTCCTTGCTTGAGGAGATGTGTTCAGGGAGAAGTTGCTCATGCTTATAATCAGGAGATTTTTGCCTATGTTGTCTTCTAACTAAGTTTTATGGTTTCATGACTTACATTCAGGTCTTTGATCCATTTTGAGTTTACTTTTGTGTATGGGGTTAGACAGTGATCCAGTGTCATTCTCCTACATGTAGCTGTCCAGTTTTGCCAACACCAGCTGTTGAAGAGGCTGTCATTACCCCATTGTATGTCCATGGCTCCTTTATTGTATATTAATTGACCATATATGTTTGTGTCAATGTCTGGAGTCCCTCTTCTGTTCCACTGGTATGTGGCTCTGTTCTTGTGCCAGTACCAAATTGTTTTGATTACTGTGGCTTTGTAGTAGAGCTTGAAGTTGGGGAGCATAATTCCCCCAGCTTTATTCTTCCATCTCAGGTTTGCTTTGGCTATTCAGGGTCTTTCGTGGTTCCATATGAATTTTAGAATGACTCGCTCTAGTTCACTGAAGAATGCTGTTGGTATTTTGATAGGAATTGCATTGAATCTGTAGATTGCTTTAGGCAGGATGGCCATTTTGACAGTATTAATTCTTCCTAGCCATGAGCACAGGAAGTATTTCCATTTATTGGTGTCTTCTTTGATTTCTCTCATGAGTGTCTTGTAGTTTTCAGGGTATAGGCCTTTCACTTCCTTGGTCAGGTTTATTCCTAGGTATTTTATTCCTTTTGATGTAACTGTGAATGGAGTTGTTTTCCTGATTTCTCTTTCTGCTAGTTCATCGTTAGTGTATAGGAAAGCAACAGATTTCTGTGTATTAATCTTGTATCCCGCAACTTTGCTGAATTCAGATATTAGATCTAGTTTAGTTTTAGAGTGGATTCTTCAGGGTTTTTTATGTACAATATCATGTCATCTGCAGACAGGGACAGTTTAACTCCTTCCTTGCCAATCTGGATGCCTTTTATTTCTTTGTGTTGTCTGATAGCCATGGCGAGGACCTCCAGTACTGTGTTGAATAGAAGGGGACAGTGGGCATCCTTGCATGAGCTTTTAAAGCCATAAAAATTTGCCATAAACTCTGCTTTCACTAAATTCCACATATTTTGACATCATTTCAATTGTCATCAAATTAGATTTTTTGCTAATTTCCTTTGTCATTTTTTTTCTTAATTTCCAAATATTTTGGATTTTCAATATGTCTTAATGGTTTCTAATTTAATTCTGTGTCAGACTTGTTTTGTGGTATAAAATATTGTCTATTTTGCAATTTAAAAGAATGTCTATTCTGCAGCCGAGTGGCACGTTCTGTTGATGTATTTCGTCAAGCTGGTTCCCGGTGCTGCTGAGATGTCCCGTATCCTTACAGATTTCTCCTCTACTTTTATTGACTCCCGAGACAGGACTGTTAAAATCTCCACCTGTAACCGATTTGTTTCTCTCCCTTTATTTCTGTCAGTTTTTGCTTCACGTATTTGGAAACTCTGGCTGGGGGTGTACACATTTAGGACTGTTACGTCCTCCGACAAATGACCTCCTTCCCTGTGTGTAAATACTTGCAATGAGTCTCATTCACTGGGAAGCTCCACTGAAGCTATTGCGTGAAAAATCAGACTTAACAAAAGACATGAGAAAAAAATCAAGTTCTTTTGCTTCGAGCTGGAAAACCAAGATGCTACGTTTCAACACTGGACATATTCAGGGCCTCCCCAGTCAGTATAGACACTGCAGTCTGGGCCCCCCCCCGACCGTGCGCATCAGGCCTCCCAGGACAGGAGTCCCCCCTGGGAAGCCACGACCTTCCACGAGTCTCACGCCCTCTAGGCAGATGGCAGAGGAAGCGCGAATGCAGTTCCCTGTGTTGAGCTCCTTACGTTTAGAGGGTCCCCTACGGCAACCTGTCGAGGGCCCCATGCCTCCCCATCCCCAAGAGTGAACAGCACTGTGAGAGCGTGGCACTGAGCAGACACAGTGAGGAAAATGCCGCGTGTCCACACATGTGCACACGTGGCTCAAACTAAAGAAAGAAAAGCACACCCTTAATTCCCTTTACGCTTCCTCCGTTTCTGCACCATGCCTGCGTGCCCAGCAGGGAGCCTTGAGTGCAGCCCAGCCACCACGGCCTGGGCCAGTGGCCTTGCAGCCTGAGGGGACACGGGCCCACACCGATGAGGGAAGAGGGCGAGGGACTGGCAGGCCTCCCTTCTGTGGGCGCAGGGTGCACTTTCAGAGTCCCATCAGCTCAAAGCAAATGAGAGCAACACCCCAGAACAGCATGTACATGTGGTTCTACTGCCCTTTAGAACATGAGAACAGGCATTTGGACTTCATCCTGGGGCAGCTGGGGCAGAGGCCCGAGATGCACACACGCCCGCCACCCTCCGGATTTGCTGCCTATGGCAGAGCTGACCCTGGGCACCCATGCCGGCCCCTCAGCCACCCCCCAAGTGCAGCTGCGGGACCTACATACTCGAGGACGGCGTGTGTGGCCGCGTGCGGGTGGTAGCGGTAGAGGAGGAGGCTCTGGTCCACTCGTATGACCCCGCCGCCCTTCCTGAGGTGGTTGTAGAAGAAGAGCAGGTCCTCGGGCACACCCTGCAGGCGAGAGCGGGCACGGGTGTTGCTGGTCCATGTCTGCTCACCACAGAACATGTCCCCGCATCAAATTCTTCTGGTGAGCAGACAGGACCCCCCTGAACCGGCTCCCAGCTTGGTCCCTGAGGTCACGGTGAGTTTGCCTGCCCAGCGGCCCCAGCACATGGACACGGGACCCCATGAAGTACCTTCAAGATAGAAGGGGCTGCAGGAGCAGAGCTCCTGGGCTGCCCTCTGACCTGAGAAAGACCTGCTCCCTGGGCCAGGGGCTCTGCCTGAAGGGTCCTGCGGGCTTTCCATCTCGTGACACCAGCCCCCGGCCTGGAGGGAAGGGGCACCCTGCCCTCTCTCCAAGGCCTGGGCCTCAGGGCCTGTGGTCGGTCGGTGCCCCTTTACTTTCTTAAATTCAGGAATGAAAATCAGGAGAGCAGAGGCCTCACCACCCCAGCTCTCAGCAGCAGGCAGCTGGACACTCAGCGGACAGAGCCCGGCGCCAGCCCGTGCCCAGCTGTCGAAGCCACTGGGACACACATTCCTGCAGGCTGGGTGCTCACAGTCCACGCCCACTGCTGGCTGGCTCAGCCCTTCCTGCTCCCTGGCAGCTCTCGAACCTCGGGCAGGTCCCACCAAGGCAGGTGTGGCACAGCTCTGCCACTTGCTCCCTGAGGAGCCCATGGCCTCGGCTGCTGCCTCGCTTGTCCATCTCCCCAGCACAAGCCTCAGATGTCCTCAGAGCCTGGTGGCCGGTCACCCTTGGATGAAGGGGGACCCTGCCTGCTGCCGCCTCCTGGCTCAGCCTGGACTCTGCAAGGGCTGTGGCCACCCGCCCTGAGGGTCTGTTGTCTCAAGTTGGCACTGAAATGCCATGGTCAGCACCGAAGGCTGCCACCGCCATCCAGGAGTCCTGGCCCCCGGCGGCATGATGGAGTGCGTCCGCACAGCCCTCCGGTCCCCACACCTTGCTAATGACGGGACAGCCAGGCACACCCTGTCACCCGGGCACGGTGAGGGTGGCACACAGCCCTGACTGCGTCTGTGCTGGAACTGACGGTGTGTGTTTGTTTATGGGAAAACGGTACAGTGGAAGTCAAGTTCCCACACTGTGTTTATGGCTCCGCTAAGCGTTTGCAGTGAGGACGGAAGGATGCAAAGCGCAGAGCAGCTGTGTTGTGATGGGGTCACAGGCGGGCTGTGTATTTTTCTTTTTTCTAATTTTCTGCACTTTAAAAGTTTCCTTTAAAGAGCACATGTAATCGTGCACTGTACAGTTTAAGAAAGACAAATAAAGGTGTTTCTCTCCTCACAGCCTGGAAGAACTCACCCTCAAGGCTTCCTTACTTCTGGGAAAAATAACTCAGAGTGAGGAGGCGCCAGAGGGCACCATGCTCTGCGTGAGGTAGCGCTCTGTCCCACGTGTCCCACCCGCTCCTTCCCACCCCCCACCTGGCTGGCCTGGCAGGTGCCTGTTCACAGGAGCCCAGGCTCCCTGACCTGCTGGAAATGCAGAGGCCGAGATGGGAGGTCAGGGTGGCTGGGTGCACGGAGCACTGGGCCCGGCGTGCTGAGTGCCCATGTGCACCGCGGGGTCCTGGTGGCTAGGGGCGCCTTGTGCCTCAGAGCCTGTGGGAAGGGATTTGGGTCCTGCAGGACAAAGGGAAGCGGATGGAGGACGCCCCCTCCTCCGGGCCCACCCCAAACCCTCTGGGGAAACTGCCTCACCGCGGGCCCAGGGGGCCGTCGTGTGTTGGGCATCGTGCTACCCACCGGGGACCAGGACCACACAGCTGCAGACAGACCACATAGACCACGAATGGGGCAGAGCTCCTCCACCACCCAGACGGGGGACCGCAGAGATGACCCCCCAGGCGGAATTCTCGAGTAAGAAATCCAATACCCATATGCAGGACTGGGCCCCAAGCCGGTGGGCTGGCTGGGCTCAGGGCTTCCGCCGGGGACGGGCCTGCCTGACGTCCCCATTCCAACTGCAGCGGCGGTGCCTCCCGTGGCCTTGCCGAAGCACGCTGTGCACTACGATGGTGTGCACGTCACACCTCAGGAAACCCCTCAAGGAAGAGGTCAAGAGGGCTCATATGAGAAAATAAAGGCTAAGTTACGAGGCCCTCAAGGGAGAGCAGATTTGAGTAAAAATTTAATGAGGGACATTGAAGAAATGTAGGAAAATAAATCAGAAAATGAAAATTACACAATGAAGTAAGTTTGTCAGAGAGACAGTTGCTGAGACCCAGCGACTGAGAACAGCCTGGCCCCAAGCCAGGGGGCTGACCGGGCCCCACAGCCCAACGGTCTCCCAGACCGACTGCGCAAGCCCCAGGGAAGCTGCGGCCTCTCGGCACAGCAGGCTTTCAGGCACATGCCGGCCATTCCCGACCCACAGATGCTGTCTTACTGCTTTTCTTCTTGTTTCATGGCCTGAACGGCACCTCCTGGGGTGTCTGGCACCCTCAGCCGTGATCAGGCGCACCTCCCAGGCTGACCGCTCCCTCCCACCCTGCTCCGCACTGTCACTTTCCCAGATCCCGCTCACCCCAGCTGCCACCCTCACCTGCGCATCCAGCGCCTGCTGCTTCAGCCCTTCTCACAGGACCAGAGCCACAGTCCTTTGGCCCTGCTGGACCTCAGCACCTCTCGGAGGCCCAGCAAGAGTCGCTGAGGTCAGGCCCAAGCCCAGGACAGGCTCAGGCATCTGTGTTCCCCTGGGGGTGCCCCCTGGAAGAACCCTTCAGCTCAACCTGCTTCTCTGGGAGCGTCTCACAGAACCTCGAAAACACGCGTCCTTGCAGTCCTGGCGGTGGGCTCCCTGTCTCCTCACACGGCCAATCCCTCGTTCTCCAGCCACGGTGCCATCACACCATGGCCCCTGCTCCCTGGTCTCGGCTCCCCGATCCTTGGTTCCCAGTCTCTGGTTTCTTGCCCCTGGTCTTTGATCCCTGATCCCCGGTACAGAGGCAGAGATGGGGTTTCTTTTCTCCGGGAGCCTCTTTTCCAGGCAGAATTGACAGGAGCCAGGGGAGCTGGTGTGCGCCCACATTCTGAGTCTGCTCATGGCTGTGATTTGAGGACATATCTGTTTCCCATGGAGTGTCACCTGGGTAACCACTCTGCACCATTTTCTGCAGAAGAATGTAAACAGCAGCGCCTGGCGGTGTGTCACCCAGGGAGACACTGGGCTTCCCTCCGCCCACCCTTTTCTTCTAATTTCAGGGAGAATCTGCCGGTGGGGAGGCCACCCTGCCTGGAAAATAAGGCTCTGTCATCTCTCCCACTTTGGTGCCTGCTTCCCAGCACAGCCAAACTCCCTGAGACTGGGGGTCCTCAGGTGGGGTGGCTATGACCCCAGCAGGCCTGCCAGGACAGGAGGAGGAGAACGGGGAGCTTGGCACTAAAGTCCTGCCCAGGCCAGTCCTGGGGACACGACGAGTCACTGCCCCCAGCTTCCGGCCTGGAATTCCAGACCCCAGAACCCCAGGGTCCAGACGCTCTGCCAGCTTCTGTGCATCCAGGTTCCCTCCTGCCTCCAGCCCAGCAGTGGGAGACTGTGGGGCCCCACATCTAGGCAGGTGCTGGGGACCGGCCGGGCTGAGCCCCTGCAGGTGTGCCCCACGGGAAGGTAAGCTGCCAGGAAGGGCCGGATTCAGTGGGCACGGACGCCAGGGCGCCCCGCACAAAGGACACGCTGTTCCCTCCTGCTGCACCCGGAGGCCACACAGCCACCACCACCCGCATCCTGCCCTTCCCTGCAAACAGCTTTAAGCCAGGATGAGGCAGCCCGGGGCCTGGGCCCTGGCAGGCAGGAGTCAGGGCCTGACGCCTGGTGCTGGCAGCTTTCACACAGAAATCCCCTGCTTCTGGCAGAACAAACGCAGTGCCACAGGGCCCAAGCAGCAGTGCCGGACGCCCTTCATGGGAGGTGATTTCCTAACCCTTGGGTGCCAGGAGGCTGGTAGGAGACCAGGGCCTGGTGCCCACAGGCAGAAGGGCTGGGGTGTGGCAGGCCCACACACCACGGGCAACGACAGTACTCCCCCCCCCGCCCCACCCCAGAGGCGGAACCTGCAGGGGCCCCACACTTACCCGCCCGCCCTCGTCAAACGGGCCCACGTGGGAGAACCACGCTCGAGAGCAGAACCAGGTAGGCATGATCACAGTTGGGCCGTTGGAGGTGAAAACCTAGAGGCAATTAGTGTTGACAGAATTAACAGAGAACAGCTGGTCACAAAGAACCTGTAATTTATTTCCCACAAATGTCATGCAGAGAGTGACAAATGAATTTGTCCTTCTTTGTAGGTACAAAGGTTCAAGGGACACCAAGCCAGATCTATGGTGTCCAGCCCCCGACAGATGGACTGGGGCAGGTCAGAGGCCAAATACAGCCATGCGCAGGCCACCATTCCCAGGTTAGCGCTCAGCGCCCGTGTTAACGAGGAACACACCTTCCCGCCACCACCCCACTCACGACTGATGTTAAAGCTTCATGTGAAAATGAAAATAAACATGCTGTTCTTAACTGTGACAAAAAAACAAAAATGGCATAAAGCATATAGATAACAACTAGATATCTTAGATGAAATGGAACAAATTCCTAGAAAAACACAAACCATCAAAACTGACTTAGAAAACAGAAGATATGAACAGATGTATAACCAGGGAGAGACTCAATGAGAAGCAGAGAAGCTTCCCACGAAGGAAATCCCAGGACCAGATAGCTTCACTGGAAAATCCTACCAAATGTTTACAAATTAATGCCACTCCTTCACAAACTCTCCCAAAAAGAGAGGCCGGAACATCTCCTCTCTCTCCGAGGCCAGTGGTGCCCTGCCATCAAAGTTGGTTTCAAAAATACACAAGGAAACCTCACACCCAATGACTCTTATGGAGACAGTTGCAAAAATCTTCAACAAATATTAGTGAGCTGAGTCCATTATCATAGAAAAAGGATCCGCACTGTGACCAGGTGGTATTTGCAGCAGGACTGTAAGAAGGGTTCAACATACGAAACTCAATCCATGTAATATGTCATGTTAAGAGAACAATGGATGAAAACGACACCATTATCTCCACAGAGGCAGAAGAAGCATTTGCCGAAATCCAATACCTTTTCATGACAAAACTAGTCAATGTAGGAGTACAAGGTAACTTTCTTAACTTGATAAAGGGTATTTACCAAAAACCCCACAGCTAATGTGCTTAAAATGGTGAAACTCTGAAAGCTTTTTCCCTAACATCAGGAATAAGACAAGAATATATACTCTCACCACTTAATTCAATATTATGCTGGAAGTTCTGGCCAGAACAATAGGAAGAAAAGCTTAAAATGTGTTTTATTTCTAGTTTGGAAAAGCAGAAGTAAAACTTTCTCAACCTGCAGGTGATACTGCCCTATAAGCAGCAGTCTGAGGGCCACACACACACCACGGTGCTAACACGCTCAGCAATGCTTCAGGGCACAGGATCCATACACAACACACAGCTGCACTTCTAGACACAGCAAAGAACAATCCAAAATTGAACTTAAGAGAATTCATTTATAACAGCATCATAAAATACTCAAACTAATTTAATAAAAGAGTGCCTGACTTAGGCACTGGAAGTTATAAAACACCCTAGAAAGAAATCAGAGCCTTAAATCAATGGAAGGGGCATCCCATTTTCATGGAAAGAGTGAATATTAAGATGGTAATACTCCCCAACTGATGTACGAATTCAGCCTAATTCCTGTCAAAATTCCAGCTGCCTTTTTTTTTTAATTTCAGAAAATGATAAACTTACCCTAAAGTCATATGGAAATGCACTGCACCCAGAAGAGCCAGAATGACCTAGAAAAACAACAAAGTTGGAGGACTCACACTTCCCGACTCCAAAACCACAAAGCCGGAGTGATCAGGACCATGGGCCTGGCGTCGGGGCAGACACAGAGGTCGGCAGGGCCGGCTGGCGCGTCTGAAACAAGCCCGCCTGCTGTGATCGGCTGCCTTTTAACAAGGACGCCGAGACAGCGTTGGGGAGAGGTGCTTTTCAACTCTTGGTGCTGCGGCTAATGGTCCACAAGCAAAATTGAAGGATTGAAGTTGGACCCTTACCTCACACCATATACAAAAATTAATGCAAAGGGGATCAAGGATCTAAATATAAGAGCTCAAACTATAAAACTCTTAGAAGGAAACACAGGTGTGAATCTTCTTGATCTTAGATCAGGCAGCAGTTTCTTATGCATGACAACAAAAGCATGAGCAACCAAAAAAATTAAAAAATAGGTAATTGAACTTAATAAAAATTGAAAAGTTTGTGCTTCAAAAGATGCTATCAAGAAAGTGCACAGATAACACACAGAATGGAAGAAAATATTTACAAAGTACATACGTAGCAAGGATCTAGTATCCAGATCATATAAAGAATTATTATAACTCAAGAACAAAAAGACAAGCCAATTTTTGAGAACCAGTAGAGGACTGGAATAGACATTTCTCGGGAGAAGAAATACAAAGGGCAGCATGAAAAGACCCTCAATATTGCTAGAGATCAGGAAAACGCAAATTAAATCCACAATAAGGTATGCCAGACCCACGAGGTCGGCTACAATAAGGGAGGCCTAAGAAAGGGTCGGTGATGATGTGGAGAAATGGGACCTCACACCGGCCGGTGGGGATGTAAGAGGGCGCGGCAGCCATGGAAACAGCGTGGTGTTGGACCCAGAGGTTACACAGAGCAGCTCCACTCCCAGGCGTGTTCCCCAAGAGCTGAAAACGTCTGTCCATATAGAAGCCTGTGCGGACGTTCCAGTGGCATTATTCAGAGCAGCCAAAAAGTTGGAACCCCCCAAAAGCCCACCAGCACGTGCTGGAAAGCCACCAGCTACAAAAAGGTATCAACTGCTGACACCGGAACACAGATGAACCTGAGAACATGATGCTCAGCCAGAGAGGCTGGTTACAGAGGCCACACATCACGCGAGTCCATTCCTGTGACATGTCCAGAGCCAGACTATGAACCGGTGGGCACCAGGCACTGGGGGAGCCCTTGCTAGTGGGGACAGGTCTCCTTTGGGGGCTTGGGATCTTGTGGACTTCGATAGTGGTGACGGCTGCCCAACTTGGCAAGCATGCCAGAAACACTGACTTGTCCATTTTAAAGGGTGAATTCTATGCATCTGAATTATATCTGATAATAGTGTTCATTAAAAACACTATGTATACAAGTGCCAAAATCAGAGTTTGAAACAGGAGCTAAAACTGGAGATTACTGTAGCATGCAAATTATGTCAACTTTAGAAATAAAACTCAGTTTTCCAGAGGTGGAGCCAAGATGGCAGGGTGAGTGGAGCAGCAGAAATCTCCTCCCAAAACCACATATATTTTTGAAAATACAACAAATACAACTCTTCCTAAAAGAGAGACCAGAGGACACAGGACAACATCCAGACCACATCCACACCTGCGAGAACCCAGCGCCTCACGAAGAGGGTAAGATACAAGCCCCGGCCCGGCGGGACTCGAGCGCCCCTCACCCCAGCTCCTGGTGGGAGGAGAGGAGTCAGCAGGGAGGGAGAGGGAGCCCAGGACTGCTGAACACCCAGCTCCAGCCATCTGCACCAGAGCACAGACACAGTGCATGCGTGGGTGCTGGATACTAGGGAATCAAGGCAGTAAGACCTGTGAACGGGTCCCGCAGCTGATGCCCCAGGGACAAAGAAGAGCGAGTGCTTTTTGAAAGTCTTAAAGGGAGAAGGACCCCACAGCTGGATGGAAGCGTCCCAGGACACTTAGCCCAGCAGCTG